GGTACCCCCCCCCCCTCCCCGAAACTCAAGGGGCGATTTTGAGGGGCTAATAACATCCTCATTGGTTTTCTTGGAGTCGATTTACCCAATGAAAGTGGCAACCCAAAAACTTAATTTTGAGCTGTTCTCAAGATCTACAGGGTGATCCGAAACTCCTGCAACATTCCTTTAACTCTTGCAGTTCCCGTCCCTTTTTATGGTGGTCCCTTTGAAATTTTGGAGGTTTCGGAATTTATTACATCATTAATGCTGAAAACGTGCATGAGAAAAATACAGAGGTCGGTGATCCTTTAAGATTTGGTGTCTTAATTTGCACATCAGTTGGTTTTGTCATCAGATAGGTACAATACAGTTTTTCCATAATTGATAAAACAGTGTGTAGTATCATGAAAAAAGGTATGATAATTTCAACCAGTGGCGTAATGGGCACCACTGCAAACCCTGCTTCTGCTATGCAACGGGCCAAGGTGGCTGGAGTCCTCGACCGCCAGGAGTTTTTCATACTTGCCTTAGTTCATAGAAAACTTAAAATTTTTTTACCATAATTTATTTTTGTACACAAACAAACAGCATTTCTTTCCTACATGTTAGGCAAATGACAGAAGCAAAAAGATAACCTGGAGAAAATGCAAATGAAGTAAACGGGAGAAGTTAGTCTCTAAGTGGTAGAAGAAGATTTCCGGTTTCTAGAACATGTTCCCTGAAATTTTTTCTTTCCTGAAGGAATCCCACATATTCCCTGTCTTGACACCAGGCACAAAAATCGATCGAACAGGTGCCAAGTTGAAATTTGGGCCGCAATCGCCATCTTAGCTTTTCGAATTCTTAACATTTTATTAAAAGTTTGAGTTTCCCATCAAAAACTATTCCTTTGTACTAAAATCAGAAAAATTGAATGACCAGGAGCCGAATGGGATTTTAAAAACAGTGCAAGCCTTGCATTGATTTTATCAAAAAGGTTTTAATATGAACAAGTTACAAAAGTAAAATATTTAAACTTTCTGCTTCATTTCTGAAGCAGAAAATAATTTTTACATGCTAAGGATTTTTATAACAAAACTTATCAAAAACTAAAATGTAAGTAACTAGCTGAGACTAAACTCAAAGGAAACATCTGGTATTTTATGCTGGAACAGGGATAAATAGCTGATCTTATTTGAGTGGCTAACAGTTTTATATTGAGGGAAGAAAAATACCCCCTGTTTTGTATATTTGTCCCAAACAAGCTTCTCGTTGATTAAGTCAAGAGGTCCTGTTGATATGATATCCAGGTCGTCTAAGCACCAGTCTGCCCAAAGAACAACACCATGACAAGTTCCCTTCCTTTAATAATGAAAACAAAGAAAACCAATTACTAAATGAAGTGTGGATTGTTCTCATTGAAAAAATAATTCAAAATGTACTAACTGAACAGTTTTATCAGAATAAACAATAGTATTAAGTGTGTAAATGAAATAAGTCAATAAGTGTACAGTTACTGGTGAGAAACTGTGCAGTGCGTTGCCTAATTTCCTCTTGATTTAAATTTTTATAACAGAAAACTAAGCAACGTTTAGCCACAAAATTAAGTAAGAACATATTTAACTTTGTATTCAAGGCCAAATTTATGAAAAGTTTCAAGTCTCGGAGTTACTTAGTTTTCGGTTGATACAGTAAAAATCTGGAGGAAATTTAGTGAGATGAAATTTGTTAAGTTGTTTCCCTTAAAAAATACCACTACCTACTTTAAAAACTACCCGATCAAATAGATGATTTTTGTAAAAAATAAGAAATGAGATGGCATGTTTTCAAACAGTACAATTCAATTATGCAACAGTCATTTTGACCAATTTTGCTACTTACTGCAATCCCTAATAGTTTGTTTCATGTTTTTGTTGCATCCCTAGTACGACTATGGCAAAATCTTTTGCCATGATACTCAATAGCCATTGTTTGATTAATCTGAAATTTTTTTTTTTCAAAATTTATACCACTATCAGGATTATCAAACTACCTTGAACCAGAATAAAAGTGCACGGTGAATTTTCTGAAGGAAATACACCATGGCATTTATAAGAGCATTTTCCCACTATTTTCTATTAAATTATATCATAAATGTCATTCCAATTATCAAAATTATACAATGACTTGTAAGAGTATTTGTTAATGATTTGGGCCGAACTAAGGCCTAGCTGGGTGTGTAAAAGCATTATGAGATAATGAGAATGAGATAATTTAAAATAGAATAGAATAAACATCATACTAACTTTAAACAGTGAATGAAACCTGAGTCGCTGACGCTAACATTCGCTCCCAGGTCAATCTGAAGAACTTGAAATGGTGCACTGAGAGCACGACACCCATACTCCCAGAGGGGCTGAGCATCAATTGCATTGTCACTTAAATCTATTGCATTCTGAAAGATTGAAAAAAAGAAAATTCAAATGAAAACTCTATTACAGCCTTACCATTCATTCTGGCGAATCTGTGATGGAACTAGAAATAGTTGCATTTTTATTAATTATTGTATTTCATGATTTCCATTTGCAACTTATGCTTCCAATAGGAAACCAAATACCATTTCTGATTGAAATTTCAGGGAACACTGTCCACAAGGCAGACTCATAAATTTAATCCACATATTAGATATCCTTCATTCGATGAAGTGTGAGGAATTATGAAAAAGTAGGGCGATTAGGCTCAATTTTGGTCTCAGGATTCAGTTTTAAAATTCGTATGGGTTATAAACCTCCCCTTAATTTTTCAATCTTTACTGATTTTTAAATAATTATAAAAATATCATCTGGGCCTTAATCTTCATTATTTTCCAAATCTCCTTCCTTCAAAAAGAAAACGGAAGTAGCGAATTCCAATATTTTATGTTCAAATGGGAAGGTTTCACAAAGCTGTCAAACTCTTATACGGTATCTTAGCTAAGAAGAATACAAAATGAAGACTTATAATTACATTGATTAGCTCGTCAAAGGGCTCCGTATTAAATCCTTCCACAGTTTTCAGGGGAGCCTGGATTTTCCAGAGATGATCGAATTGGACAACTAGACCAGAAAAGACAACCTTGTAGGGAATCATTGAAACGTTGTCGGAGCAAATTTGACGAAACTGAGTTGCAAGGTGCCAAAATTGCAGATTATGCCATGGGAGGGTCGAAGATGAAAAATGTGGCTCTCCTACAATTAAATTTACCTGGAATTCAAATAAATCAGAATGACAACTGCATCAGTAAAAAGGCAGATCAGTGGTATCTGGTACTTGCATGTTTTCAGGACATAAATCCGAAGTAATTAGACCTGTATTTTCAATGCTGCAGTACGAATTAGAGACATTTGAGATATGAAATGAATGCAAGCCAAAGGCACGCTCTCCTCAATACTTTTCAGATGAAAATTGTGTCGATTATTTTTAAAGGACCAACTTCAAAATATGAGAGATAAACTGGGCTTTAAAGATAAGGGGGAGTTAGCCTATCTCAATAATAACTTACATCAAAACAAAGGGACAATTCGCTCTCTGTGTAGTTTAGGTCAGGAGAAGACAGTTCAACACTTTTTGACCTAGTGTTCCATTTATTTCGACTTTGTAGTGAGATAGTTCCTAGTCTTTAGGGATAAATCAGTTTGTAAATATTTTAAAGGGAGAGCACCAGTAAGAAATTACAAGATATTGTAATGAAGCGTGGCGGTGCAGGTATTTTTTAAAATCAGAGTTTAATTTTCAAATTGTGGCCATCTCTTTAGATTTTAGCGAAGAATTATAATATCTATTGCAAAAAAAGATGGTTTAAAAAGAGTCACATGGGAAACCCACAGATGGTCTTTGTACCATAAGGCGACATATTTAAGTTTATGATGTTATCAAGTCTAGTTGAATTTTTGTTTCTTTGATATACAGAAGGAATAATGAAAAACTATCAATACCTTATCACAGATCGATAGGAGATCCTCTTTCTTGTTGAATATTTGTATCTTGTTTTGCAGATTGTTGTGTTCAATGATTTTTTCCAAAGTTTTGGTAAATATTACATTGGTGTCCAAATAATAAACCTGAAGAAAAAAGGGATTGGAAGCATGAATAGGTAGCATAGTAGTTATTAGTAGGTCAAATTAATTGACACTTACGGATAAAAGTTTCCAAAATATGCTGTTGACTGTTTTGAAGTTAGAAAATTGAGTTTTCATGTATGGCGCATAACTCTGATCAACACAAATTTCCACAGCAGCTAGTAGAATTCATGACTAAAAAAGGAAGACGATAAACTCGGCTGTTTAACATTCCATTTTTTCTTCTCAACTCCTAAAATAAAAAAGTTGAAAATGTTTAAATTTAACAACTTTTTTGGGAGGCTATAATATTACCAGTTGATGTTCAAATTTTCCTCACAGAGCTTAGTTTATTTGATGTAAATTCAGACAAATTTTGTTGAAATTCCATCGAAAATTAAGAGAGATATTTTTAATAAAACGTAAAAATACTGAAAAGTAGCCAAAAAGGGGTTTTGAGGCAGGTGGGTGCGAGAGGCCCAAATTATCAGTGACAACATTTAGATCAAATTTTCCTCATTCTCTACCTTCTTGGGATTTAAAGATGCCGCCATTAGACTTAGAAGAGATAAATCACTTAAACACAGGCAAATAGTATCTTGGGTAATTTTTTTTTGCAGAGCTCTGTAATACTTCTTCCTCCGTAAAGTGTCATTTAAGCATCCTATTCGAGCTCTCGGCATAGACAAGTGAAGTCCGCAAGTGCAAATTGGTTTGTTTGAAAACTTTCCATCATCCTGCACCCTGTAAAGACAGAGAAAGATTAAAGAATGCCATAACAAAATATTGCCATTTTTTTAGAATTTTTTTTATAAACCTCAAGAGAATTTTAAACATTGTGAGTGAATTCGGGGATGTTTTGTCACAGATTTAATTATTGCAAGTAGGCTTTGGTGGATTTTTGATCTTTTACAAATGAGTTGTATAATCTATTCTTCATTCGAAGAGAGGAAACTTTATGAAATGTCTCTGTCCTACACCCAGCTAGTTTCCAGACTAGTAAATGTTGAGTACTCAGTGGTTAAACAAATGATAGAATAATTGTGAGATCCAGAAATTGTCCATCTCTTCGTGTCTTCGTCAGGTCATTTTTCTATCCTCTTATTACTTAAACGATTGAAACAAGCTTTCAAAGATTCTGGCGAAGCAGATCTTTCAATAAAAATGAGAGCTGGATCAAAATAAGCTCGCTTTTTCATGGATAAGTCACCTTGTACAATGGAATTAGATGGAACTTTTGCATGTGTCAAGGATTTGCAATTCAAGTGCTTTGTTCAGTGTACAATTTTACGAGAAACATGATGGTGCCACTGATTTTCTCTGAAACGATGTCCCAAGCTTGAAAGTGCGAAATATTGCTAGAATGTCCATTCGGCTCCACACAGCCGTTGGTGGCTAGAATAGTAGAAGGCCAGCAAACAAGGGATAAATTCAACAATAATGCACTTGTGGCCTAAATTTTTCACAGTAATGTTTTGAACATTGCTCTATAACAATCTATGAGTTATTCAAATGTTCTTTGATGATTTTCACCAACAAGAATGCAAATTTTATTCATGTTTCCATCGGTTCCAGCCGCTCAAAGCTAGGCAGACATTTTGGACAATTCATCACCATTTTTTAGGCTGGAAAACGGTACTTACACTTGAGTTTTTGATAAGGCATGTTCAGCATGTTTTGTTGAGCAAGATTCTATGGGTTGACAGCAGTAGCCAAATCTTTACAAAATAAAAAAAAAACTTGAGTGCAAAGTGTTGTTGATGAAAATGATCCATCTCATAAAACGACAAACTCGCCAAACAACCACTCAAACTAAATTTTACCAAAGCAAAAAAAAAAAACGTGCTACAATGTTTAAATTTGGCCCAGCAGCTCTTCATAGCTCCCAGGTTCACCTCCTAGCAGTGAAAGTCAGGAATTTGAACCGTTGCGAATTCCAGTTGCCCCGCCTTACTTATGAAAGAAAGATATATGTAGATAAGATGACATGGAAAAAAATAATAACGCTTTATTGGACCAGACATAATTCTCTTAGAACGGTTATCATCTCTGAATGGTCATCCAAGAGGCAGGTGGTGAAAGACACTCATGTTTGCAAAACTTACCTCATGCTTGACATCACAGAAAACCAGAGAGAAAACTCATCATGAGAGCTCACTAATGAAAACTCATGGTTTTGTTGGACAGGAACCTCAGACGGAAGATAATAAATTGCTTGCATCCAGTGATCTCGCCACGGAATTAGATTTGCTGCCTCTGGTCCAGAAATGTCAACTTTGACGTCCGGGTGAGCCCAGTATGGGGCGCAACTCAGAGTTATTTGCGAGAACGGATCCATAACCAGGTCCCACCACATAAATACTGCTTGAGCAGTGCCTGTCAGAGACGCTTTAAACACAACCACACTTTCCTCTCGCTCTCGTATCCTGGTTTTACCGCTGAAGTCAAACCTGTATTGACATACATCTTTTTGTAAGTAAACACTTGTTCATTCAAGAATACAGTTCACATTACATGAAAATCCTACTTTATCCGAAATTCCACCACTTACACCACTTTTATTCATATTATTTGGAGAAAACTGATATGCCAGTATTCAAGCATTTTATGATTGCTTCTTTTAAAAAACCTCTTTTCATGACTATAATTTGAAACTAAAATCATTCAAAAGAGAAATCCGTTATTCAACAAATCGAAAATGATGCATTCAGTTCAGGAAATTTTTCTTTTAATTTAGTCCAGTGAAAGACGTTTAGGAAGTAGACATCTGAAAAGTATTTTTGGACATAATCGGTCCTTTTTTTGCTGTACATATGGGACAGTGACCAGCATTTCGACAATTATAACAAAGAAACGTTGTTCGCATGTTCCCAGTATCTTTGCTGGACTTGTCCCATGAAAAATAAAGAGTTGTACCAAATCACCTTTCAATCAAATGAGATACATATTTGTTCCGGGTAAATTTAGGATCCTTTCAAAATAAAATGAAAATTCACAAAGGAATTTTAGCTTCAGTGAGCGATTGAAATACATACTTGAGAACGGGGAGAGGAGAAGTTATACTGCGGAATGATTGCAGAGGTAGTTGACTTAGCTGTACATCATGGACGGCAGCAGCCCCAGCACAATTATTGATGAAGTCTGGTATTTTGATGCTAGTTTGCTGGCCAAATTTAAAGTCCCTAAGTTTGTTCCAGTTTGATACAAGCTCACTTTCAACAACTTGAGCATAAACAGTTGCAGAGTTTGGGACAACAATTGCATCACTCTGAAGAAAAGCATTGCAAAACACAAAGGAAATATTAAGGACCACTTAACACGTAAACATGTCAGTTGCTGGAGGAGCAATTTCAGAAAAACACAGCAAATGTCATTAAGATAAAAAAGTCAAAATGTTTATGCAAATGATAATGGACCACTAGACAAGTTACAAAGTCAAAGCAGGTTTCCTTATCAAAATTTGATGTAAAATACAATGGATGCATCACAACCCCTCAAAGACTCATAAACTAGTAAATAATGGATTTTGTCTACCTACTTCAGACCTTTTGCTCACAGAAAAACTAAGGAAAAGAGAGCGAAATTAAATTAAAATATAGCTCTTCATCTTACCTCAAGCAACTCAGAGTGTGCATGATTGAAAGTACAGACTGCTCCCTCGCCAATCAACTCTGTATCAAATACCTCCGTAACTAAGATGTTGAAACGATAAGGTAGATCTACTCCCACTTTGAGCTCTGTTGAGCGCTTCTTGACAACTTTGATTTTAGAGGCAAATCCATTTTTTTCTACCACTTCTTCAGCACACTTTCCAATCGGTTCAAAGGCCTTTAAAAAAAATCATAGGACAACTTAATGATTAGAGAAATTTAAAAGGTGTGCGCGACTGGAGTAACTCGCACACTTATGTAAGGCAGTACCTACATAGCTTTTGGCATACAGCTATTGTTCCAGGGTTGTTTTAGCCAATTGATTTCTAGGGTGAATCAGTTTTATCAATCAAGAGATATTGAGCTAAAAAGGTTACAACTTTGGCCTCCTCTAGAACCAGTTTTTTGGGGGGATCCAAAATTTGGGAAAAGCTATTTCAGATAAGCATAATTCAGAATTTCAAAGTAACCCAAGGGGGGGGGCAAAAATGGGGTGTTCCAAATCAAGCTCTTTTCTTTAGGCTTTTGCGGCAACTGAAAATGACATTGCATCAGAACCAAATTTTGCATTTTACTTAGAATGTGAAAGTGATAATTTTGACGAATTCCCGACTAGAAGTTAAAGGAATTCAATTTCGTATGTATCGCAGTTATCATATTACCTCACAAGCAATTATTCGATCTGCTCCATGCTTGGCTGCCATCATAGAGAGTAGCCCTGTTCCTGTTCCAATATCCAAGACATTAGCTTCTTTCCCAAAACCATGAACTGTATCAATTGCAATTTTGATAGCTGCCTCATACTTTTGATTCTAGAAGTAACAAAATTATTAGGAGTCAATAAATAGAAAAAAAGGAGGGGGGGGGGGGTTTAGGGAAAAGAGCAAGTCAACACCAGTTAGAGACAAAAATTAAATTAAATTGTTTTTAAAAAAATGGGTCAACTACTCATACTCTTTTCAGGTAGAGTAAGAATTGAAAAATTCATGCTAAAAAAAGATAAAAACTCCCAAGTATTGAAATTTAAAGGTGGTACAGTTTTATTAATCCTGGACAGAGAAATTGTAAATCTGTCTTGAATGAAATTAGGGCAGCGCGAAGTTATGTTTGCCTCGTATTTCATTGACTGTGGGAGAGTGAATTAAATTTTGGGTCACCTTGCCTTGTAAAATAATTATTTTTTCTAAATTATGGAAAACCAAGCATAAAACCAAAGACAGAACACTATCATCCAGACTAATTTTTCACTTAGGTCCAACTTTTAATGGAAAAATTGAGAGCAAATAGGATTGAAATTAACAAGCCACTGTGCTCGCTTCTGGCTCATAAATTTAAAGCAAATTTATGGGTATGTAATAAATATTTACCCTCTTGGCATTTTAAAGCGGCAAGTTTACAAGTAGGTAGAGGACATCGTATATTAGGACAAACATCAATCTCTGAATTAGCACCACTCAGCAGGTTGAAACATGCTGTCAGCTGGCACCACTGATGAGTGGTGAAGTAAACAATAATTCGATGTTTGTTTCAACATAAGGGGTTTTCTTTTATTGACCGGCGGTACCACCGATCACCAAACTGCATTCTTTAACTCACCGATCGGTGCTGACGTCGCGACCGGAGGAGTCACCGCCGGTGGATTTGGTACCACCAATCTACCGCTCGGAGCACCGGAGATTTCTCCGGTACTTTCAATCCACCGGTTCACTGGTGGACAATCTAACCATACTTCAGCCAGATCTCAGGCCAAAAATAAGCAAACAAACGAGAAATTGTGGGTTTTTCGCGCCTCCTGTCATCGCGGATTCTGATGATTCTGCTTCGGATCGTCACTGTCGCCTATGTATTGAATTATGTAATGTTTTTTACTGTTACTTTTCCTTGTACTTTAATTATGGCAGAAAAGGAGTTAATGCTGGTACATTGAGTGTATATTTGCAGTATTGCAGTATCATTGCGGTAAAGGTTTGAAGAGAGGAAGAAATCCATTTGTTCACATTGGTGAAAAGTGCGAGTGGGTTTGGGGCTTAACTCTCGCCTGATCGCGGGCAATTTCGTACCAAAACGGCGTTCACCAATCAGAAAAAGAAGACCAATACAAAAAGACCGATACAATGCAGGAGCTTTATGGAGTGCTTAAGTGTTTACCCTCTCAGTATCATACAGCATATCAGCATATGACGATCTGGCAATTTCCTGATGGAAATCATATTCATCGTCTTGCATTTCCCAGTCGCAGGCACCTGTAATAGGATTAACAGTCTCTGTAAAGACACTCATTATTCTTTTGACAGAGTAATTCCACACTCTGAATTTTGAAACGTCTCGCCGAATAGAGAGAAGTGTTATCATCACATTAGGGGGCAGTAAATTCACCACTTGTTTAAAAATTTAGGATCTCCTAGTCACGTAAATATTTTTATTTTCTCAAAGTAAAAAATACACCGAGCGAAAAACAAAAGACAGAAAATAAATATCGGTAACTCCTGTGAGGGCAAAACCATGCAAAACTGAGACAGAGGGTTTCTTTGAGGTTATGCACCTGCTAGTTCAAACTGTAAACAAACAGAGTACAAGATTCTCCCGCAAGGTCGCGCGCCTGAAGCGACTTGGAACCTTTTTCGCGCGAAATTTGAAACGGCATTTAGATTTACACGACGCGGCATTGACATTTTCTGCATTGTTATGTGCGCGTAATAAGTTTGATTTGCAACGACGCTGGGATCGGTAGATATTCAAGAATTATGCGCAATTATACGCACTCCTCGCCATGCTCACCCCCATCTAAAAATAGACATCAAAATAAACCACACATCACCCCCATCTAAAAATAGAAAAATAGACATCAAAACAAACCACACACGTACACATAATAGATGGTGACAAGGACAAGCGGAGGAATGTACATGTCTACGTCACAGCAAGCTAACGAGGCCGTATCTAATACATGTTGAAACCTCATTTCTATTGGCTAATAGGCCGATGTACATGTGCACGTCATGACTGAATCTGAAGGTGGCTGCCTCGCCACCACCTTCTGTAGTTTCTGTTGCGAGTCACTTTACGAACTTTACGTGTTATCTCTTATCATGCATCGTGCCTTCGTAAAACCATAATGGGAGTAACGTGATCCGCGATCTCGGTATGAGAATCACGATTTTTTCGCCTGCGCGCGAGCTGTGAGAAGCATCCTGCTTCTTTGTTTTGGCACCTCTTTTATCAGAGCAAATATTAACGTCGCAGAAGACATGAGTTAATCGTGTCATATAAAGCGGAACCTCCGAGAACAAGCAATGTGATAGTGATAAGAGTTGCGATTTTGTTTGTTCTAGCGATCTGTCGCAGTTTCAGTTTCACCTGGTCAACGACACACACATTCACTGAAAAAGTGACGGCAATCTGAAGGTCAGAGAACTGAAGTTGTAGGTCACCAAACAAAAGCCCTGCCAGCTAGAAATTCGCACCGAAACAGTGTGTTGACAAGTTTAGTTTTGATAAGCCAGCTCGAAGCTAACAATTATCACTCGTCGGCAGTCAGGTAAGCTGTTAGCAATATACTGAAGCATTGATAATTCCTCCAGTATATTTACTGTCTGTTGAACTTCTTTTGTTTACATTCGGTCTAGGTTTTGTTTGTCATGGACTCAGTTACAGCATCTTGTTTGAGCTGTCTATCTTCCTGCAAGTCATGGTTTTGTATCAAGTATTTTTGCATGATTTTGAAATTGATTTGAGTTTCCAACGAATAAAGCAAGAAGTAATTTGCCCAACGTATCAAACAAGTCTCTGAAGTTTGACTCAGAAATTTTAATTCGTTCAGAAAAGTACCTAGAAACTCCCTGTACAGGGGGTAGAGATGTTTTGTCGAGTGTCAGAAGCTACGTAGCTGCAATGTACATTGCATCCTTTACCTACCATCATAGGTACTTGAATACTCACTGACTAATAATGCACTTTAGTTTTTTTTTTTGTTTTTTTTTATTTATTTATTTATTTAAGGTTTAAAGAGCACCCAGTTAACCTTTCTTTAAACGAAAGATGTTTTTGGTCTTGCTTTGCCCCTGTATGAAAGCTAACATATGAATGACAGTGTGCAGAAGTCTCTCTATTGGCAGCTGTGTTGCTTAGATTTCAGAATTTTATGAAAAGAGGGGCCTAAGTAAAAAAAAAATATTCAACTTTATAATAAAAATCCAATTGAATAAAGTCTGATTTATTTTTGGTGGAAAAAATCTTTGATAAGTGGTCCCAAATTGAGAGGAATTGAGGGAACTTTTGCTCCCTTGCAAAAGTCAGATCCTGAATTAAAGCCCAGAAACGAAAAGAATGATGAAAAATTCACAGAATCCATCTAATTTGGCTGAAAGGAAACCAAAATTTTGTGTTGGAAGGAGACGAAGGACAGTCCAAACTGAAACGTGGCCACTCAAAAATTATTAAAGATTTGATGTTTGGAGCATTTCTTATGCCCTGTCCGGTAAGTGTAGAATCTAGGTACGCATCTAAAAATCTGTGTTGTCTTGTTTTATTGTATGCTAAATTGTTCGCTAACCTGGTTTTCTGTTTGGTTTCATTCTAACACTAGGTTGCTGTATCATAGAATGCTGTCTATTATACTACATCCTTGATAATACCTAAGTAATCTAGAAAATGGGCGTCAAACAGTCTCGACATTCTCAGGACTTTATTAACACAAGGTTTGCCTGCTTTTTATTCTTTATGGTGCTCCTTTTTTATGGTTCTTTAATGACAGTACGTTACCCTAAGGCTCAATTGTGAATTGTCGAATTATAAACATGCACACAAGTGTAGAGTCCATGTCAAATAAGTTTATGCAATTATACACTGGGACAGAAGATCCACCATCTTGATTCTCCCGTTTACTTTGCATGTATAAGTGATGTCTGACAATCTTCTGTTGTATTATAGAAGTGTGTAAACTTATTTAACTTTGACTCTACTCTCTGAAAAAAACTCTCAGTGTCCTAAAAGTTCCTAAATTGATGCTATGATTCTAGAACTAGTGTTGGCTACTAAGCTAATCTTGTTCTCGTTTTAAAGCTTACATTGCTCCTGGCGGCTGATTATTGAAATTATTAGACAAAGAAGACACAGAGGAAATGGAGCAATCCTGTTGGTAGAAGGGAAGTGTTGCAATGGACAAAGAAGGCAAATACTAGACTAACTAATGGCAATCCACCAGGAACCCCATAGTTAGTCCATCATTTTCCCCCTTGGTTCTTAACAACCACCTGTTGCAACGATTAGAATCGCACTATTTTCCCTTGTCCTATTTATCTATTGCTGTATCTATCAATTTTAGCCTGCTAATAGATTGGAACCAAAATTATCTAACTTCCTCAAAAAATTGGAGAAGTTATGAGTATTTTAAGTAAAGATAATTTAATCCATCAAAAAGTCAAACTTTCAACATTCATCTCGATGCTCATTGCTACTTGTGCCAGCAAGATTTTGTTTTGAAAACTTCAAAGTTTTACCTTGCTTAGGATTCTGTAAGAAAATTAAATTTGTCCTGTAGACAATTTTCTTCAATTCTCACCCCCCCCCCCCCCCACCTGAGTTCTTGGTTTTTTTTTCTCTCTGACTTAATTTTTAAATTGTTACCAAAATCAAAAAAAAGAAAGAAGATGTTGGGTGTTTAAAATGAGGTAAATCCTAAACATTGATGGTTTGAGAAAGTTAAAAATGGAGATAGTATTTAAATCAGTGAGTTCGAAAACACACCAACTCAGAAAAAAAAATTGTTCAGGAAACACCTAAAACTGCGCAGCGGGTAAGGAAGTTAGTTTAAGAAAAACCTTTTTGGTGCCAAAGGACAAGTACTTAGAGACTTTGTAAAGCACCAAGTTGAAATCGATATACCATGTTTGATGACAGAGAACTAAGCGTTTAAAAATTTCCGAGTTGGTGTGTTTTCGTTCTCACCGACTTTCAGATACTGATTTTTCACAGTCTGCCCTGAAAAATTTATATTTTTCGACCTGAATAACGCTTGAATATTTATATGACTTGTTGGAACAAGGTATACAGAACCGAAAAAAGAAAACTGCCAAATCGGATGGTCACCCGTTTCCCTTGAAATGGCCAAAAATTAGTATTTCCAATGAAATACTTCGATTTTTCAAACCTTTTCCCGTCGCTGTTTTGAGCACTTCCGATTGCAATTTCGAAATTTTCTTTTGCGTGCAGATGCTTCTATTCATAAGTGTTACTAAACTGTAAAAAAGTGAAAATAAAAAAAAAACCCAAGTTGGTGTGTTTTCGAACCCACTGATTCATTTAGAGACTACCAAGGTTGAATCAAACTTGCTATATTCTCAATTAAAGTTATGAAATAAATCAAAACCACAGTAGTGCCCATGAGAACCAGGTGGAATGGGTGGTGATTGATAAAGGTGAGGGTCCTATCAAAACTAACCCGTTGATTCTTACATGTTATGCCCAGTTGCCCACCATCCACTTTGCAATAATCAAACTCTCCTTTTTTCTCCGTAAGTCCATCTGGATCTATCTCGTGAAGTAAGATAACGCACAAGATAAACCAGCAGTTGATTTTTCAAAGATAAGAAGGTGGAGTTATGGAGAGATTTAAAAGATAAGCGTGTTCTGTCAGTTACACAGGGTTTTCAGCTTGCATATCATTGTCCAATCTCCTCTTGAAATCATTAGGAAATTTTCCACTCTGTTTTAGTCACTGTGAATTTTTTTAATTACCACTAATAATTGCATATTATCCCTCCATTTTCTTAACTTCAATGTGCTATGGGCTCATCAATTCGGGGAGGATGATTTTTCTCTTTATTTTCAAAGTCAGCTTGGTTCAGAACAAAGAAGTGAAGTGCCAAAACGCGATCAGTGCCTATCAAATTTTTTGATGTCTCCTCAAATTTTTTTCAAAAGAAATTGGAGGAAGGTTGCTAGATCATCGCCAATTTTGAAACTAATTTTTATCTGTCTTCCCACTTTTCATACCGATTTATACACCCACGTACTTAGATCTCTTATAGGGAATCTTTACTTCTCAGAAAATTAAACCTCCCCCCCCCCATCTACTTCCATTTTAACTTGAAAACTCATATCCTAAAACCTAATTTTCTCCCTAAAATAATGTCTCTTCTAGATTTCTTTTATATCTTAGAGAAAAGAAACTTGGATTTCTTAGTGTCTGAGAAACATAATAATCCATTAGTAACTGTAATATGACAAAGGAGATCGAAGAGAAAATCCGTTAATTTGCCCTGATCGCTTGAGTACCTATCATTTTAATTTTAACACAGCTTTGCTCCTTGACCTCTGCATTTTGTTTGCCTCTGAATCAACATTTGTCATTCCTACCTCTTTTTCTCTGTAGAGATTCTACAGAGGTCATTTATTAGTAAATACAATTTATTCCAGAAAATTTTCATACTGAAACTCTGCTTTGTTGAGAAACTTTCTTTTTATTTCCTCCAGTATTAAATTCATGTCACGTTACCCTGTTATCTCACAGTTCGCCCTGTATTCGTTCCCTATCGTAGTAGGTTGTTGTTACTGTGTTCATAAATTCATTTACAAAGCCAAGATGAAGCACAGGTAAGACCTTAGAATTTAAATAGTTTTTATTATTTGCTAAGTAGGTACTGTCACTCAAAAATTGTCATCCCTCACTCCCCCCTTCCCTCTATTTTTATTTTTTTGAAACACTATGTCCAAACCTTGTGCAATTAAGAATCATTTGCAATTTTTTTATTCTTGCTAAAATTTTATCTCAGGTCCCCCCCTTGATTTACTCTCAAAGAAAGCTTTGAGTATTGCATTCTGTAAAAGAAAGGCAATCTTGATTCCTACCAAATGAAGGAAAATTCCAAGTGTATAATTTTAGCAAGTCATGATTCATTTAACAATCAAAGATTTTATTTTTATGTACCTGCACACATGCTGTGGTGCAGAAGTCTTGATTTAAGAGAATAATTTTTCTGTCATACCTACAATCTTCGATAATTAAAATAATTGCACATTTGTAATTATAGTACAATTTTGTTTATCCTCTATTGAGTTAAATATTTTTAAAAATATGCAAGAAATTTGACAAGTATTTTAAGAAATGGAGAGAATAATCTACTTCATGAATCAGAGTAACTGTGATTTCTGAGAAGATAGAATTTCTATTGAATCTATTCCGTAGGTCATGTTTTAATAGTATCACTAGTTATCGTTCCCCTTCCATTCTCCCTCCAATCATTTAAAAGCCTCTACAAATTTACGTTGACCTCAGGTCACACTAAGACGCATCTCAGTTTTTGCCAGCGAAAACATGCCTGAATACATACCACGTCTTCAACTGACTTGCAAAGATTCACTCTTTTTTTATGTAGTTTTCTGTCTGTCCTTACACCTTCTCTCCCTCTCAGTGTTATAACGAATCTGCAGTGATGTGCTGAGGAATTCAAGGATTTAGTTTTGATTATCACTGTGCCCTGATAAGAACAAGTTAAGTCATCAGAATAATGAAAAAGTATCACTGTCAATAAGTTAATTTTATCCCTGAGATGTTATCTTTTCAAAGGTCAATCGATCACAGATTAGTGCAGTGAAAAGGTACTAGACAAAAGTCCATGTTGAGTATCACCTCCAGAGCTCATGATAATTTTACAAGCAAATTGCAATGTGACTTTTGAAAATGTTCCTGCTTTTTTCATAGCCTTTTTTCCATTTCTTAATCATACTATTTCTCAATAAAATCTGTTTTAGTGTTTTACGTAAATGCAATTAAATTCAGTGTAGTTTGTGAGTGTGTGTGCTGGTATTATCAACATGTTAGTGGAAGTTGGTATTCTGTCGATTATCCTGTTCATTATTTTTTGGGAATTCAACACCCTCAGCCATATTTTCATCAAATTCATTTGGCAAAAATTAACGCTCTCTGAATCCTATCCTCAGGCAAGCAAGGCTAGACATGTTTCAAAAACAGAGAAAACCAAGAATACTCGGCCAGTGAAAGAAATACAAAAGCAAGGTAAAAGTCTTAAAAAAGAGCAAAATGGACGAAAAGAAAAGACCAAGAAAGAAGAAAAGAAGGTGAAGAATAAAGAGCAAAAGCCCAGTAAGTATGGTGATCCAGTTTCTTTGCCTGATAAAGGTGTCAAAGTTACAACTGATAAAAAACCGACGAAAACCTTGCCACCACCTCAGGGGCCTAAGAAAGATAAGACTCTAAAGAGTAAAAGCGGTGATAATTCAGGAGAGTGGACCATTGTACAAAAGAGAATGAAAAAGTCCTATTCTTCAAAAACCATTAAACCTGATAGTACTGGGTCTAGCGTACAAACCAGAGGTCCTAATTGCTCTGAACTCACAGCCCTCGGAAAGCAGTCCGATACAAGCACTGTAACCAAACCACATTATAAAGAGCGTCGGGAAACCATTCCGACTATAAATATTGGAAGAACTGGTAGTTCTAGTAAACCAGGGGCACCAGACCCTTCACTTATCCCAAAACCCTCCTGTACTCCTAAAAATGAGGCAATCACCAAAGGTAATTTGCCGCAGAAAACAGCAACCAATGGTACAACAACCAGAACTACAAATGAGTTGGCGCAGGGTTTTTTTTTCTACAAGGGTAATAAAGCAGAAAATGACTCTAAGCAGTATCTTGACTTTGCGAATCAAAATAAGAGAAAATTCCAAACTGACTATGCTAAAACAGTGTACAAACCGAATGCCTTGTCCAGTGAGATTACAAATGGGTTTGGCAGTGACATTAGCGATAACTCGAAGAAGCCCAGCGCTTCCGCAAATCAAGGAAATTCTATTGATTCTACCTTCGTGGGAACCAATGTGGCATGCAGTAATGTTGGAAATGAGCCTCCTAGTGAGGTCCACAGCTCATCTAATACTTTCGTCAATCCAAATGAAACCGACAGTCAAAGGCTTGTTGCAAATCCTGTAAACTTCTGCTCTTCAAGTCAAGCTCCACCTATCCAGACAACTTTTCTCAACATCACCTCCAGTCAAATGCTGAACCAAACTTTTCCCTTGAATGCTGCAGATGCCAATTTGATACCCCAAATTGAAAATTTTGATCCATACAGAAATTCAGTGATTTATTCTTACACTGAACAAAATCAGCAAAGAGTGGAAAACACTTCAGCATCATCTAACAACTTCTCTGCATCATTCCCAGATGCAGGAACCGAAATCTTTTCTTACACCACCTACAATGAAAACTTCCCAATTCTATATAACTCGTCAAGTGGCTTTGTTGAAATGCCCCCTGACCATTTAACCTCCTTTGCAAATAGTGGCGAGAACAAGTCATATTACCAGGAAAATGTCTATCATCCAGGCGAAGCATTTGTGCATTTGGATAGTGCTGGAAATCATTTCAATGGTTTTAATAGTAACTCTGCTCATATCAGTGGACTTCCCAACAAGGCACCTCTAGGTCAGTTTGTCTCAAGTGATAATGCTGCATCCTATCGTTGTGACATCAATGTTGATGAAAAAAACTATGGGCTCTCAGATGGTAATTCAGATGAAGCTCAGCACGGTTCTCCTTTTAATCCTGAGGAAGTTCTAGCTACTGCTGTGCCTACTTCAAAGGCTATAGATGAGTCACTTCAAGATTTAGCAAGTCCGCATGGACTAAGTGATGCGCAACAAGAGTCTGATCAGAATACTAATATAGTAAAAGAAGAATTACCGAGGAAAGACCAAGGGAATGAAGAAGAGTTGTCATATTTTGCAGGAGGAGAGGACAGTCTAGTTAACGAGAACTTGTCATCAGAGGAGGAAGGAAGTGACCCAGAATGTGAAAGATCTCTGTCTATAAATGAAGGAGAATGCAGTGAAGATACATTTGAAGAATCGTCTCTAGAAGTAAATAATTTAAAGCATGAAGGGATGCCATCAACGGCAGATCAGGGTTTGGTTAAATCTGATGAAGATGAGACAGTGTTAAGCGATGATGAAGCATCTGAGGATGAAATAGAAAACCAGAAGAGGCCTTTAACCAAAGAGGAGGTAATTGACAGTGCAGAAGAGAGTACAAAAGAAAGCAAAAGTGAGGCTACTAGTCAAGCTAAGAGTGTTGTGGAAAATCAGTCAGTTCAAGAAGATGACAGTATGAGGAGCAATGAAATGAGAAATAACGAAGAACATGAGGTAGAAAGAGACCTAACTGGAAGCGATTTTTGTGTGGAGAGTGAAGTGACGAATCAACATACACCACTTGCTGCTGGAGAGAACTCGTTTATAGGTGGATGTCATATTCAAAAAAATATGGAGGGAAAAGAAAATCCTCAGGATTTTGACAGTCCTGAATCCTTAGATCCCAAAGCAGTAGAGTGCCCTCACACCAATTACTTTGAGCTCCAGTCTAATGAGGATATCTCCAAAATTTTGGGGAAAAATGAGGATGCAGGAATGGTGAGCTCATCTCTTGTTGAATCAAGTGGGAGTTTGAGATCTAAGATTGATGAACTTGAGGTGGATGAGGATAAGCTGATCGCAGAACAACTGTCAGATGCATTGCTGGATGAGTCTGAAACCTCACAACCTGCGATTGCAGATGTGAGCCCGAACACCGTGATGCCAAAGCCTGTAGTTAGTGCAGAGAATGCTTTGTACAACATTATGGAAGAGCCAGGAGAGGTCGAGGAGAAATGTCATGCTGAAGCATCAATCTGCAAGGAGCCATCTGTTCAAGCAATTGACCAGAATCTGCTACCCAATCTACCCTCTAATGAAACTTTCGACAAGAATCGTACAACTCCTGATTCTAGCACACAACTCATTTTTGAACACTCGGAGTCAAATCCCATAATCTCAGAAAAATTTGTCAATGATGAATTCTCAGTGGAGGTGACTGAATCTTTAAGCTCATCTTTTGATAAAAAAGAATCCGAAGCTGCAGGGTGAGTTGAACTGTACATTGGTATTTTCTCAGTACTTTGGCGTAATGTATCATACATTTTTTTCCATTTTCAATTGTTGTTTTTCTGATAATTGTGAATGATCATTGTATTTTATCTTTCAATTTCATGATGTGTCTTAAAGTTCAATACTGTGCTAACCTTTTGATAATTATCGCTAGGTAAGGTGAGGTGAAAATTCTAAAAATTATTGAGTTTAGATTTAATCCATCGCAACAGTTAATATCAGCCTTTAATGGTTAAATATTTACCATCCCAGTCTTAAGAATTCTTGTGAGCCAAATAAAAATGATAAGTATAATATAAAAAGTAACACGTCGAACCACTCAAAAATCATATGATTATCAAAAGACAACAAATCTGATTTTAACTTCATCTTTATTTTAATTTATTTTACCGTTTTGAAAAAAAAAAGAAAAAAAAGAAAAGGAAACTAATCTCTCTACGATCAATTCCCTCTGGAAACCATTGATTTTTATAATTTTGTGTACTTTTCTACACATTCCAGATTTTACTCTGGCTCAATTTTAAACTGGCAGCAATTTTCCTGAATATTTTTCATATTTTATGTTTCAGCTCCAGTAAAGGGAGGCCGCAAAAAATGGTAACTACAAGTATACGGGTTTTGACTCTCAATGATGGGGAACACAAAGATTCAACTCTTTACAGGCTTGAAAAAGGCAAGTATTTATTGCTACTCTGAACTTTTCAAAGCTCTAATGTTAATTTCTTCCACTACTAACTTTGAAGTCACAAAAATTCAATCCATGAAGGAAGGAGAGAACATTTTTCTAGAACATCCTTAGGGTCCCTTTTCGTAATATAAGAAGAAAAAATATGTTGCGTAGAGCTCTAATCCATACCTTTTCTAGTGGCCCATCGTATTTACTCGCTCTCCTCAATCAAATTTTTCATTTTGACCCGTTCAGTAAATTTTAACTGTTCAATAACTATTTTATTTCAGTGTAATCCGTATCATACTATTTTTAAGTATTATATTATATATTTATAAATTAGACTACAATTTTTGAAGATTAGAATAGTCTGTAAGTATGTCTGTGAAATATCTGTTCAATTGTAAATTTACAATTTAAAACAAAAAAAGGTTATTTTTTTAAAGTTTCTATTTCTGAATAGTTTAAATTTTACCATCTTAATAATCTGTTTATTTGTTGTTTTTTTGTCCAGACTGGATTCTCGAATTTCGACTAGGACCTTCATTGTTTGGTCGAAAAGTTAAAATTTTTGTAAACTTCCCTGAAAAAGGTCATGAGTATCACCGCAGTGAGTACAACAGTCTCTCTTGGTCAAACTGCTCTAGTCATGATGATTGTGCCAAATTTTGTCAAATTAGGCTTCATACTTCCGGCTCTTTTCATTATTACTTTACATACAATGATGAGTAAGTTTTTTATTTTCATTGTCTTATTAGTTTCATCTCTGTAATTAAAATAAAGAGGATTACATAATAATTTTTGACTTTAAGTAAATTTGAATATTTTTTATGGATACAAAAAGAAAATAATAAATAAGAGGCATTCAAAAATTTAAATCTCTGAAGGTGGTGCATAATAAAAAAAATATGTCGTCCAGTTGCAAATCAAAGGTAAAATTAGTAAAACATGCATCTCCTTCGCGGTGCTTTGAAACATTCACCTATACCTTTTTTATTTTTTCTCGTAGAAAACGTCATCAAACATGTTTGCGTGACTTTTTTGAAATTGACCTAGATACAGTGATTTTTTTTGGAGACATGTTGCTCGGAACCACATCAGATTTTATAGCTTTTTTGTAAGAAAAAAACAAGAATTTACAATCCTCCTTGCACCTCTCTTGTAGCCCAAACCCAGCCTCTTGTGATCCCTGGTTTTTCCCATAGCTAAATTAAGCTTCTCGAGACTGAAGAGGTAGTTCAGTAGATGAAATTAAGGCTTCAATTGAAGCTTATTTTGTAACTTTTACTTCTGAGGATTTCAGCAAATAATTCTGGTCAAATCAGAGGAATTCTTGCGTTTTTGTATAAAAACTGAAGGAAAATACTTAAAATGAGAAATATAAAGCTAAGATTTGTCAGATGAGCAATGAAATATGGTAAATTTACTAAAAATACTAAACATTTTTTGTTTCTTTTAATGCATGCATCTAATGTTTAAACTCTCTTCGCCCCCTCCCCCCCCCCAAAAAAAAAATTCCTAAAATGTGAAAGTGGTTCATGCAACTTGAGACTAAAAAAAAACCTGTATCGTGGTCAATGTTTGACGAAATGTGCCAAACAAGGGGTCATTTTGTAGGGAAAGCTTTGATCTACAGAATCCTGCAAATTGTAGCCTGCTAGCTTCTGTTGTTGGCACATACAGTCGACCTGCGCGAAAGCTCTGGGACAGTCCATTTGTTTTGATGGGACAAAGTGGCTCTTAATAATTTAACTTATATCAAGACAGGATTGTACAACTTGGCAGTAGAAATTTCTGTGAACTTCAATTATTTTTACAGAAAGGTCACATTACAGTTCAAATTCATATCAGACCATGGTACTTGCCCAAAAACTTTACAAATAAATTTAGCTGTATTTGTAGTTACTTACAACAAGTAACCACCTCTTCTATCATTGATAGTGAGGTGTAATTGCCGGCAACCCTTTCCTGTTTAAGTGTGCTCATCTTCATTCTTCAAAAGTTCCTGCCTTTGTTTTTGCATTATAGATCTATTACTTACACCAATGCATCCAACCTGCACGTAGACATCAAAGACATGAGCTCAAGAAAGTCCACTTCTGCCACTAGGCGCAAGTTACAGTTTGCTTTCAGTAAAAAAATGCAAATTCTTAAGGACAGAAATTTTAAAACACTGAAATTGAAATAAGTTTGTTTATTCACACAATAAATACTGGGCTTTATTTTCTCTTTAAGAACTGTCCCAGAAGAAGTCAATTTTTTCCGTTCATTTTTACCAATTAGTGCACTGATGATCTTAATTTTTAGTGAACTAAAATTGAAATTTGAGCCTCTGTTGTAAAGATCAGACAGAAAATTTTATGTTAGCTGTTTTAACGCTGTTTCAGAGAATCCCCGAAAGGTTCCGGCTATTTTCTGGTGGATCCGGTCCTCACGGCTGGGGGTGAAGAATTACCTTTAGATTGCATACAGTCAGTTACTTACCTCAGCAAGCTTCTAGGTCCATTTTCATCCTGGGAAAATAAGCTCAGAGTAGCTAAAGAAACTGGGTACAACATGATTCATTTCACACCCATTCAGGTACGTTTTGTTTTGATACCACTTCTATCCAAACTACGACCCATTCTTTCCAAGTTACAGTTTCTAGATCTTTTGCAGTACCATTCTTCGAAATTATGAGACAAAGTGTTCATCATGTTAAAATGGAAGATAAATAGGATTTCCCAAAAGTACTACAAGTTTTTTCTCCATGAGGATAAAGAGAAGCAGATGTTAAAATGCGGTTTGTGGGATGTTAATATTTTCGTAAAAACCTATTTTTCATCAAAATTGTCACCATGATAAAGCCAAAGAGCTAGAAAATGCCTCCGAGTAGGTTTTTTTCTCATCATCAGTTTTTTGAAAAATTTAACTTACCCTAAATTTGTATGCTTAATCGAAGAGAATTATGATTTTTAAGGGGAAACTGCACTGATCCATTTTCATGGAAGTCATTCATGGATATAGCTCTAAATATCTACCGTAAATCAGTCAGAAAATCTGTGACCAAAAAATTTTTTTTCATCATTTTAATCGGTCGTTATTACCTCAGTAAAATTCATATACTTTTCAATGTTTTTCAGGAGCTGGGAGGTTCAAATTCAGCATACAGTTTATGTAATCAACTCTCCTTAAATGTGACATTTAATGAAGGAAATCGAGATATAACATACGATGATGTAACTGTACTAACGGATAAGTTAAGAAATGAATGGAAGGTATATGCTTTTTCCAGTCGACTCTCTTTAAATGTGATGTCCCAGATTTATTTTCATCTTTGTCCTCTAAGCCTGCATCTTGGTGCTAACAATGTTTACTTCCTTTTTTTTTTTTTAGGATCAGCACATTCAATTTACATATGATAGCTTGTATAGAACTCGCAGATTTTTCCAGCCTAAGAATCCTCTCTCCATAAATGCTCATCCTTAAAGAATTTGGTCCTAAACTAAGAGCTGCCTGAGTAGTTTTAAAGGCATCCAAGCTTTAAGATAGGTTTTTAGGAGGAATTCTTCTTTGTGGAACTTACATACTGAGGTTTACATACGCAGTATCTTCATATATCTTCCTAACATTGAAATTCCCCATTTACTTCTTACTTAACAATTTTAAGAAAAATTAAGAAGTTTATAAGTAAAGTGCATGATCATTATTTAGGAGTGCTTTCATTGGAAAAGCCTGATAATATGAAGAAACCGCCAGTCCTCAATGGGAAAATGCTTATATTTTGTAAGAACTCCATATATTTGTCCCTTTTCGTTCATTCAGAATTTTGCACTCTGATCAGTGTGAACCAGGTCTAATTCAAAATAGTGAGACCAGCACAAGCTGTATTTTAAAATCAGAATTGCAAGTCTGTATTTCGAACTGGCGGACCTGGACACCATAAAATTTGAAAAGGTTATGGTGGCTTTGCCTTGTTGTACATTTGTGAGTTAAAAAAGGTAATGAAGGAATGACCAAATAGTTATCTTTTTTTACAACTCTAGAATCTCGGAGTTGTTTTATCCTTTTTCAAAAAATTCAGTTTAGTTGATTTTTTCCAATAAAAATCCCCTCTTTAAGGAGAAATTTGTAAGTTTTCTATTGCAGAATAATTGACCATCCTCCTTCATATTATACAGTTTTTTTTAAGTATCTTCTTCTTCCGTTCTCTCGTTGGAGTCATTTCCCATTTACTGAAATCTTGCTACCTCAAAATCTTTTTACTTCAAAAAAAATCTCTGGCACCTTCTAGTTTTAAATTAGCGAGCATGCACTATATCATTTCTAATTGACTCCTGCTTCTTGTTTCCAGGTGTTGAGCATCTGTGATATTGTCCTTAATCATACAGCCAATGAGAGTCCCTGGTTAAAGGATCACCCTGAGTGTTCATATAATTTAGTTAATTCTCCGCACCTAAAACCAGCATATTTATTGGATTATACTCTTGACAATTTGTCTAAGGAAATATCTCAAGGCAAGTGGGAATTCTCTGGAATACCGACTGTTGTGAATGCAGAAGAACACCTGAATGTGAGTGTTGCCAACCTTTTTATTGATACTCTCCTAAATGGGTTCTCAGTTATTAAGTTTGTCTATTTTATAGCTTTCCAGCTATCTGATGCAGTTATCCATCACAAAGTTTTCTCATTTATTTTAATTTTTTAGGATTTTGAACTCTCTCGACGTTTTAACAAAATGAAGGATCCAATCAGACAACTGAAGAGAATCTGAGTAAACTAGGTCAAAGTTCTGACCTACCTCCATTTGCTTTTCAATAAGGCAGGTATGGCATTTAAAAAAGCAGTCCTAGGCTCCTTGGACATTCTGAAGGCAACTGAGATATCTCGGTGGTGAAATTGAGTTGGCATTTCAAGGAAAGATCTGGGGGGTGAAAGAATACATAATGTTAAGCAGTGTCATTGCAAGAGTAAATCGTCATTAACGCAAATAGTAAAGCCCCTTAGTCTACAAGTGGAGAGTTGTAGGCAAGTATGATGGGTAGGAAAGGACTCATTCTTGAATTTCAAGAAATTTCATAACAACACGACAGGGATGAGAATGGCATGGTAGCCATAATAATGGCTTTTTGAGTGTCCTCAAAAATCAATGCAAATGTGGCATTTACAAGAAAAGTTAATTTTTATCGTTTTTTTTTAGCAAAAATACATCCTTTGTTTTGCAACTAACTTTTTTCCATTCCTTTATCCTCATGACATTTTATCTGGTTTTTTTTCCTCTCTCAGGCAATCAAGCATGCATTATTTGGCTCTATTCTACCAAATGTGAAAATTTTTGAGCTATTCACAATGGACATCGACAAATTAGTTGTAGAATTTCAAACATTATCAAGAAATAGGGTGCCACCTTCACCCACGGAGAAAGTCACTGTGCCTCCGCTGAAGTTGATACCAGATCCAGAATTTAGACGGTTGGCTGCCAAAGTTGACATGGATCATGCTTTAGCCTTATACAACATTTATAGGTGATTAAATCTCTTTTTCCCCCTCATCACAAGATAGAATCTTTGTGTCAGGTGTCTGCAGTCAGTTTATAATAAAACGTTCTTGCAAAAAAATTCTGCATACATAATGCAAGTGAAGATTTGACTCTAGTTTCAGCAGCCTGCAAAAGTTGTAAAAAAAATTATTGAATAATAAGACTTTATAATAACTGTTATTGAAGGCTGGGAATCCAAGTTGTACCTGAATAGCTCCTAGACTTTAAATCCTCTCAAACTTTCCTGCAGTAGATACAAATTTTTGAGTGTATAATCTCTAAAGGAGCTTTCAAATGTATTAAGTTTCGAAAAATATCCGGAAAACCCATCATAATGCCAAATTATCCTCAATAAGTTGTCAAATTATAGTTTTGTAGCTTAATAATTTTTCTTGTTTGATGCTGATCACGTTTTTGAGTTCAGCTAGCCAAGATAAGTAGCACTTTCAAGTATCAAAAAGTTCAATCTGCTATTTTAAAAAACTTCAATGTTCCCTCACTGAGAGGGATTTTGGCGTGAAGAAAATAGTACTGTCATGATATTTATGCATGCTCAAACTTTTTAGATGTTCTTCATCTCACACTTACGCTGTTATCTATTTTTCAAAACCGTTTCAAAATGTAAGTCTAAAAAATACATGAAACAGAATTTTTAAGAGCTTAAAATCAACTAACACCTACAAAAGAAGAAAGTGAAACAGAGAAAAAGCACTGTACTATCTGCAAGACAGATTACAACCTGATTATTAACCTTATTTAAATTTATCAAGAGTCTTGGTTCAAATTTTTCTTTCACAAACGAGATCAGAATGAAATATGTTAGTTGTTGGGTTCTCATTAGGTCAGTTTAAATTGCAGGCAGTAGACTGCAGACTCAAGGGCGTTAGTTTAAACGAACCCCCTGTTCAACTTATTGAAGATTGCTCATGAATTATGCTTTGAATGCTGTTTTTAAGTTGTATTCTGTAACCCTCTTTCCTCCGCTGTAAAACATGACTCCTAACTTTCCCTTAAAAAATGAAGTTATGCTCAATTTTAATTAAAGTACGTATTCCTCTCCAATTCTCATTTGTTTTTTCCTCTGGTAATTTATGGATAGTAGTCTGCCTTCAGACTTTAATATGTTTTGTTGGTAAAGTTGAAATAATTGCTTAGAATTTACGCAATTTCTCTTGAATGTAGTTTTTGTGCATTCTTTGATTTTGTCACCATTTTTCGAATCTTATTTACATTGCAAAATTCTTTTGCTTTTCTTTGTTTAGGAGTGATTGCTTTGATGAAGAGACTCGTCTTAAAAGATGTAGCGAAGAATTCAAAAAATGTTTGGAGAAATTGAATAATGATATTTACAACAAAGTTCAGAGTGATCTTGGAGCTGCTGTTGAGAACACTGTCGCAGGAGTTCGTTACTTCCGAGTTCAGCATGATGGACCTCGTTTAACAGAAATCTCTGTAAAGAATCCTCTTTTCCAACGGTAAGATATTTCTCTTCTCGGTCCTAGAATTTATTTTTTTAATCTTTGACTAAAGTTCGTATAATTGAACCTTGTTGTCTCCTGGCCGAGAGGTATCGTAACGGTTGCTAAAGCAGTGGAAATTTTCATGACATTCCATGATTCCTACGAATAATCTAGAATAATCTAATAAATAGAAGGAAACATCCGAAACTAGTCTAGAATGAACACACCTATGACATCATCAAAGGGTGCCCAATGACGTTTTCTTGGACCACTGGACAAGGTGCAAAAAACATCAGGATAAATATTGTCTCTTCAAACTTTCAAGTAGAACATGATTTGTGCAACAACAATCATTGAAAGTAATTCCTAACCAAGATATAAACATTTTTTAATGCCTAAATTCAAACTTCCCTCTTACTATTAAAACTATAAAACTAAAAAAAAAAAAAAAAACTAAAAAAAACTGTTTGAATTAAATCGCCCACTAAAGGTTACCTCGCAGCAGCATGAAAATATGTTAACCTCAATATGGACAGCCGTTGCTTGTTACTATTTACTCTTTGAATCTAATTTGGAACATAAAAATGCTTGATTAAGAAGCCTACCAATATCGTCATAGTGGGCGATTGGTTGACAAAGAATCTAGTTTTTCTTGTGAGTGGGGAACTCAAAATCTTCATAACCATTGCTAAATAAAAATGTTAATACCTCGGTTAGGTTAGTTTGGTTAATTTTAGTAATTTCTGTTGCACAAATTGTGTTTTACAGGAAATTTTGGAGAGGGAACATAATTAATAATGAAAAGTATATTAAATTTAAAGCAGCTACGTTGTACTTACATATATTCTTCACCGAATGATGACTGTGCATGCGCTACATTGACGAATGTCTGTCAACAGAATATCAATATTAATTTAACACTGCACCAAGAGTATGAAAAACATCATAGTATTGCATACCTATGGTCAATGTCGAGGCACATTTAACAAATGTCAGAATGACCTTACCATAATCCCTATTTCAATATGAAATCAACCATACGGTCAATATTCTGACAGCTTAATTTCAGCAGTGGCATAGTATCGATAAAATATTACAAGAAGACGTATCACCATTGTATTAAAAAATCATTACTGTATTTTTTTGTAAAATCGACACTGTTGACAGGTCAGTATTAATATTATATGGTATCAATATTCTATGCTATATGTGACTAACTAATTTCATTCTGTAACCTCAGTTATTTCACAGACCCACCAAATGGACCGTCTGAAGCAGTAATGTACTCACATGAGGGACAGTTTGTCATGGCTCACAATGGGTGGGTAATGAATGCTGATCCACTGCAAAATTTTGCCGCACCAGGATCAGATGTCTATCTTAGACGAGAACTAATTGCCTGGGGAGACAGTGTCAAGCTGAGGTATTATATCTCTCTTTTTGTTTTGTTTTTCAAACTCAGAATTTTTGATCACAGGAAAATGCTGTTTTCTGTTTTAGCGCGTAAAACGTAGTGCGTAAAGTTTTACACGAAATAGTCCTTTTCTCTACAAAATCAAATTTGAATTGTGATATGTAACAGAAGTAGCTCTCTATCTTATTCAAAGACTGCACAGCAAAATTCTAAGGAAAATTTGTAGTGCACAGCAGTACGAAAGGAAAATAAATTTTCATGGGAGCAAGCCTGTCATCAATTACATGAGGAAAGTTGTTAACAGATGTGAGGACAAGTTGCACTGTCAGATCAATGAAGAAGCCCTTGAGTTATTAGATAACTTTGGGGAATTTAGAAGGCTCAAAAAGAGAAAACCATGAGAGTTAGCCAGCAGAGGGCTTAATTTTTATGTCAAAGAAGATGAATTAAAGTATAGAGCTCGATCTTAATGTAAGGTCCTTTAATTGCACTTAATGTAATTATTAATTATATCATTTTTTTGCCAATAGCTTTGTCCCATAGATCAATAAAATTGTACATAATTCTGTAATCAAAGATGACAATAAATGAGATGCTCACAAAAATATTTTCCTTTTTTAGGTATGGAGAGAAGCCTGGAGACTGTCCTTATTTATGGAATCTCATGAAAGAATATGTCGAAAAGACTGTAAAAACCTTTGATGGAGTCCGTTTGGATAATTGTCATTCAACACCTATTGCTGTGGCTCAGGTAAGCTGTAATTTAATTTTGCTTTCATTTATCATACTGTCTTTTTGTATTGGTTTTATTTTAAACCACCAACGCCCATTGAGGGCCTATTTCATAAGGGGGACTCTGGTAATTTCAGATATTGTCCTGCCTTTATCTACAGTAAAGCTTCAATTTATCGTATGGGGATTTAACGGATGGATCTCCCAGCCCCTTCAAGAACGAGCTCTTACTGTATACGTATTTGAAATTTAAAGAATAGTAGGATGGAACATTCATTTTTTGTCTGTTAGGACAATGAATGAAGATTTTTTCCATCTATCAAAATTCTTAAAGTTTTCAGCACATGTGAATTTGTCATCACTGGTTTTTTTTTCTTTTCTTATTACAGTTTCTACTTGACGCTGGGCGCAGGATCAAACCAAACTTGTACGTCGTAGCAGAGTTGTTCACGAACTCTGATGACAAAGACAATATCTTCGTCAACAAACTTGGGATCACCTCTCTGATTCGAGGTTTTTATATTATTATTACTTTTACTCTCCCTTTGGAACAATTTAGCCTTCTAATATTGATTAATGACTGAAAGAAAGATTTCAAGTAACATAAAATTTTAATAAAATAATATGTATAATAATATATAATAACATAAATAAAGGAGGAAAAAGAAACATACAATTTTAACTTACATTTTTTTTTCTTTTTAATTTGTCAATTCTAACTCTCACAAATCACAAATTTTCAAAACCACCTTGTGCATTATGAGAATCCTTATTTCAATAAATCATTTTGTCAATGTCTTTTGTCTCTTATGAAAAATTCCAAGCAGAGGCTCATCAAAAGGTCAAATTCTGTAATGTTTTCTGTTGTCTACTCTCTGCACCAGTGGAATTTCCCCTCCAGCATCAGTGTGTTTCAGGGCGTGTAACTCATTGGTACATATTGATGTGACAATCTTAAGTAAGTCACAGTCTGCAATGGTACTGAAAATTGCCTTCGTTGATTGAATTTTTTACTAAGCTTTTGATTATTGAACTGTTGATGTATATAAAAATAATTTCTTCATGATATCTTTTGTTTCCAGAGGCAATGTCTGCATGGGACTCCCATGAAGAGGGTCGCTTGGTTTATCGTTATGGAGGGGTTCCAGTCGGAGCATTTGTGCAGCCAACAAGTAGACCACTAGTTCCATCAGTAGCTCATGCCTTGTTTATGGATTTAACCCATGATAACCAGAGCCCAGTTGAAAAGCGCACTGTTTTTGACTTATTGCCAAGCTCGGGGCTTGTCAGCATGGCCTGCTGCGCTAGTGGTAGTAACATGGGTTACGATCTCCTTGTGCCTCACCATGTGAGTAGAGACACTCTTATTTAACTAACTATGCCGAGATGAGGTCTTGACATACTTAGAGCAGACCCAGGGAGAGTCGTCTGATTGACTTACTTCTAATGTGACAAATGAGCTTTAAATTAATTGCATGATCGATTCTTTGCATATATAGCTAAAATCTAGATAAAAAATTGAACATTAAAGACAAATTAATATTTTTTATTTTCACCCAGTTCTGTGTAAGAAATAAAACTTGATGATAAAATCTCTCCAAACATTAAATTTGTGTGTTCTCGTTTGGTACCAGGTAGCAGCATCGGTCTCCTATCGGATTTTAAATAGAAAATATGATGAGAAATTGACTACTTTCAAAATGTCAAGTTTTTTCAAAATTGAAACCTGAAACAATTTCTTTTTTAAAAATCCTTGGGTGCCTTTCCTCCCTATGCTGAGAGGAAAACTGTCCTCCATATTGGATGGCAAAATTCGAAAATAGAATTTTTTATTCACCTGCAAGAAATTCTGGCGCCCCTAAGGTGGGTGCCTCATGTGAATGCATACTTTTTTGTGCCATTTGGTATGGACTCGCGTGTCAGAGAGGTTTCTGGCTCGATGAGGTTAGGTTTCATTGGAAGCACAGTGCTAAGGAAAGAAAATAGCCTTGGTTTTAAAATAAATTCTCTCTATCAAGTTTTTCCTCTCTAAAATAGCTTTTAATTTTCAGATACATGTTGTGGATGAAAGTCGGTTATATTTGGAATGGGGAAATGAAGTAAATCTCAGCACAGGAATTATTGGCGGCAAACGAGCTTTGAATAATTTACACTATATGCTAGGGAAAGAGGGGTACTCCCAGGTAAGAGATATGACATCTATTTTTCCAACTCTCTTTTAAATGAAATAAAAAACTAATACCGTGCGACACAAGTTGAAGGAATTTAAGGGATTGATGTTACAAGGGACAAATTTTGGACTTCATCTGTGTACAGTAGAAACCGCTTATCACGACACACGTTTACAACAGAATCCCGCTTATATCGTAGTTTTCGCGCGGTCCCATTTTTTCGCCCATTAGAACAATGTGAAATAATCCCGCACACATCGGAAACTCACTCATAACAGAAAGAATTTTGGTCCCAAATCAGAAAAATTCCGATATAAACGAGATTTTCTATGAATATGAATATTATATGATCTTCGAGTATGTATTTACCGCACCTACACAAAGAATAAATAACACAAGGTAATCGCGAACTTCAATCTTATCAGATAAGCAGAAGGTCAAAGGTCATGTTAATGAGCCAGCGATGCATGATTAATTGGTCGGCACATCAATCATCTGTTGACGTGTGATAACATAGCAGGTGCATTGTTGTTTGATTGGCTATAGTGTTTACGTTATGCGTTAAATCGCAGATGCTGGCGCTGCTTCCTAGGCATGCGACGTAAACAACACCAATGACCCCTGAGAGATTTTAACCGTCCATCGTTGCCGTATTCACCCAAAATTTATTAACATTATTTCATGTCAGTTTTAAAAAAAATGACAGCTTGTTGCATGGATTAGTTTTACTGTTTTGTATTTGATAAGAACGAATCTATATCTTCCGCTTATTATAAAATTAAGTACTGCTTGCGATAAAATTCAAATCAATCCCAAGACACTGGGTAATTAGCTGTCACAGCGCGGCTTCAGGCAGCGTGAAGATTGACCAGATGGACCCAGTTATCGCGAAGAGGTAGTATTCTGCGTGAAATTGTAATGAGCATTCATATGCTGTAGTGCTCAATTTCTTATCCTGTCTAGTGGTCCACTGGAGCATAGAAATATGTCCTCTTTTATTATCAGCTGACAATGTATTTTTAGTCAGCTTTTTTCCCTATTTTTTGGGCCGTAAATTTTTCTAAATTTTTTCCACCCAATTAACATTCCGGAATGAACTTTGGCAGGTTTTCGTAGATCAAGTTGATACCGATATTGTGTGTGTGACGAGGCACAATGATATTACCCACGAAACTGTCATTCTGGTCTCTTACACCGCTTTCCACCCACCAAGTAGCGTTGCGTCTGGCATTGGAAAAGGAGTCACAGTATCTGGCCATGGAGAATCGGTCATACTTGAAGCTACACTTTCTCACAGGTTTGTTTCCTCTTCAGATCCAAATAATGTTCTAATAGTGACTGGAAGTATGATACATTCAAGTATTAAAATCACAATTTTTAGAAGAAGCAAGAAGTAGAAATTCATCAAAAAGAGGACTGAATTATCTTAATTTATTGTGTGAAAGAGGATTAAAATCCCAATAATCTGGTTTTATAGTTAATCAAAGTGGTTTTGATTTTTCCTGGTACAAGGAAACTACTGCTGTGTTGTTCAAAATTTGATTGAACACCTTATATTATTGTTTTATTATTCCTTTTTAGTGTATTGTGTAAGGCTTAGCATTGCTCTCTTACTAACATTAAAGGTTGAGGGTCATTTTACATGGAATCCACCAGCGAGGAAACCTATCGATTTTAATTTTTCTGATAAATTGTTTTCTTGATGAGACCATCAAATGGTTAACCTCGCAAAATATTAGGTCTCAAATGTTAAAACTCACTGAGATGTGAATTTTTGAAATTTTAGTAATTTTCGGGAAACCAGCTCTTTCATTTTTCACAAAAAAATTCATAAGGGTCTCTCCTTATTTTCATGTGCCCACTCAGGTGCATTTTCTACACTCCTTTTTCATACCATTTTGCTCAAGGTATTTACCAAATGATTTTAGGTAGGTTACTTTAATGTCTAAATCTATTATCATTTTTTCCAAGTTATTTGATACTGTTTAACCATTTTACTGCAATTATCATTGTGTGAGAACCTGCAAATACCACTCAAAAAATAATAAAACTAGGGACAGTAATTATGTTGGTTTATTGTTAAAATAGCTCATCCAATTTTTCTCCCTATTTTTAGAGGCAATCAAAAATATGCACCGAGCACCGAATTCAAGCGTGATCCTAAATACATCAATGGTCTGGCTGAATACACCCTTGATCTACGAGAAAATATTGATTTGAAAGAAAGTCGTATGTTGGATTTCGTTTACTTTCCTGATGGTAGCACGCGGGTCAATTTCACTTCGCAATTTAAACCTGGATCTGTAGTTGCTGTCCAGTAAGGAATTCTAAAATTACATTTCCTCTGTTTCTTATTTCCCCATGATAGGCATATAATAGAAATTTTTCCCAATAGCTGTAATGTATTTTCTTTTTAGCTCAATTAAATTCTCAACTTATTCTCAGCTTTTATCCAACCCATCAGCAGGAACATCAGAAGTTCCACTGCAAATCTATACTGCATGTTTAGTATTTGACTTTAACCAAATATTTTAGGTCAAGTCTTGATTTAATATAGCAACCAGGTGATTTTTTTAAATTTTTAGGCGATTATCTTGAAGATGAAAGCAAATTATCCTCCATCTTAGCTTTGTATTGCTGAAGGCCGTAGATTCTGAGTTTCCCTTGTTGCTATAGAAAGCACATCAATCATCAGATCAAATTGAGTGTTGCGAAACAAATATAATGTACCTCCCTATTGTCAATGGGGTATCATTTTTTAATGCCTAGCGATAATGTTTTTAACTGTACGGAGGTCCTTCCCATGCTCTCTAATCTTCATTTAGAGGAATAGCATATCTGCTCCCAACTGGTTACTTGGAGGCACCGGGCTTTAAAAATTCACAACACATATGTTTCATGTCTCCTCAACAAAGAATGTTTAAAAGTTATTTTTATCCTTTTGCAGGTTCACACCCCATCCAAAAGTTCTTCCTGCTCTGCAAAAACTGTCAACAAAGCAAGATCTGAGCCATGTCATCTCTCAATTATCTCTGGTTGATTTGAATAAAGCACTGTACTGCTGTGCTGAAGAGGAAGGCGGCACCTATGATGTTCCGAATTTTGGCAAGCTTGTATATGCAGGCCTTCAAGGTAAAAAATTACTCACCAAAATAGAGAATTCCTAATTGCCTAATTGTTGAACAACTTTCCATCCAACAAAATTGGGCTGTTGCAAGCTTTTATTGAAGCTGGAAGGAAGGTTGTTTTTCACAAGGGTGCAAAAAAACTTTTCTCTCTCCTCTAACCTAGGATTACAAGATTTGATTTGATTTTTTAAATGATTTTCTAATGATGTGTAGCTCTCTATTCAATTTCAGTAAAATTTTGCAGAAAGACCATTAGAGGTCAATGGACTACTAATGTAAATTTTAATGGACATCGAGGACCTTAATGTGAATTGAGGGCTAAAGTATCATTGATTTTTAAACAGGGCAAATTTTGTAGTGGGTAGGTGCTGGTTGGTCACTACGGTAGGCTGATTTACGGTAGGCCTTTGATGTACCTGGTGCTAGATAGGTTTTGCATGGCCCTATTTGTGAAAGATGTAAAATTGATCCATTTTCCTCTTAAATTAGCTTATAAATGACCTTACAAGGCCCATAGTTTAAATTTGGAACCTTTTTTTCAGTCTAAATGAGTTTCTAATACAAAGTAAGTGTTTCCTGGTAAAAGTTCAGAAGGATCAACATTATACTTGCGAATTTGGAATTTTAGAGAGAGACATAGAATTAAAGTGTAGGGTTTTTTATCATGTCACCATTATGAATATCGTCCTCCATTTTCAAATCGTAAATGTAGGCCAAGATTCTTAAGGAGGCCTTGTGGGAATATTTAATATCCAGCACTTTTCCGCAGTTCTTTTATACCCTTTTCCGGCCCATTACGGAAGGAAAATATTTTTGCAAAGTCCCAGAAATCCCTGGATTGAGAAGAAATACTTTAAGTGAACTTTTTTCCTGTTAGATTTGATTTTTATTTTTAGAAACTATGCTCTCTTTCAGAAAAATTTTACCCTCTACATCTTTAGTTTTTTAACTTTTTTCAATAAGCACAGTTTTTGCGTTACAGCAAGCATTTTACACTGAATGGATGTCTAAATTGGCGTATTACAATTTCATCATAGAGGTGACTTTTAAAAATGGATGGAATTCATCTAAATTTTGACAAATTTTTTTTCACTAAGCTGCACTGGCTGCTACTCTGGAACGGTAAAAATTAACAAATTAAAAAAAAAAAATTAGATACACCCTAATTTTTAAGTGTTGTGCACAGCGCTAATAATTTAAAGCAGTCCAAAATTGTAAGAAAGGAAAGTCGTGCAAAAAATCAGTTAAACTCATATAAAACTTTGAAAGATTCTGTTCCAATAATATGTAAGTTCATGAGTGAGGATGGCTTTTTGAGATTATGTTGTGAAGCTAGAACCTGTCTTTTTTTTCTTGTAGGAGTGGTATCTCCTCTCTCAACGATAGCTCCAGTTAATGACTTGGGACATCCTCTCTGTGCAAATTTAAGGAACGGTCATTGGTTGATGGACTACATAGCCTCACGCTTGAAAAACTATCCTGGCACAAAGCAGTTGGGAGATTGTATGGAGCAACTTTTTGCCCCCTTGAAAGACATCCCTCGGTTCTTAGTTCCATCGTATTTCAACTTGATTATCATGCAAGTTTACAAGGATCTAATGAATCAAGCTTGGAGCCAGATGTCAGAGTAAGACTTTTTCGCCCTTTTTTTCCATTATTCTAATCGAACTTATTTAGCTTAGCGAGAGGTCCTCTTTAAATGTGTCTGTTTAAATTTTATGAACTAATAATGTGGGTAGCGCTTCTTAAAAAAAAGTGTTGAGGTCAAAGTTGGTAAATGAAGGTGCATATTGTGCACCTCCTTCTTTTTTGCTAATTAAACTGACAGCCTGCATTAAAATAATGTTTACATAATAGTCGTTTTCTTTTTCAATTAACATTGTTCTGGTATTTAAATATAGTAACACTCCAAATTTTCAGATCATAGTGAAAATTATGAATTTGCTGTAATGGTGAAAAAAAAATATCCTTTAACATGTTTCAATAGTCCAATATATCAGCACCCCAAAGTCGCAAAATACCTAACTCCATTTTAGTCAAATTGAGATAGGTATCAGGGATAAACCGCGCGTTGCCCCCACTGATTCCAATGTAAATCGCAATTCTTGAAACTCTGTATCTCATAACAGGCGTAAGATAGGGCTTCCTATTCCTTACATATGGGTTCGTTAATGGAGATTGCCAAAACTTTACTAACACGATTTTCCAATAATAAGAGTTAAGTATTTTTTGGCTCTAGGTCACTGATAAGTTATGCAATTTTCGTGTCATTGTGGTCAAATAGGAAATATTACTTTCTCTAAAATGCTGCTTTTTGCCACCATAGGTTAGTCTCGAATGGATCAGCTTTCTGCAAGAGTCTAGCCCTAGGATCTATACAACTCGGAGGTATTGTTTCCTCATCACCATTACCTCTCTTGTCCAGTAATCTTTTGCCACCGAAACCACCTATCCGCACCACCAAAGATGGTCGCAAAGAACAACTGTACGCATCATTATCTGCCGGTAAGTTCAGATTGAGCTTGTTTTTATTTTTGAACTTTTTATCTTACTAATGAGAAACTGTAGTCTCCTGCTAAAGTTACCTTGAAAAACTTAATGTCAAAATTACACAAAGGATGTCACTTTGGCCCCATTAGGGCCTAAAAAGGCTATATTAATGTCTGCAAGTAGCTTGCATCAGGCTTTTACCCCACCAAAACTTACTTTTATGCATTGTCGAATCTGAAAGAACATTCAAATTAACCTATAGAATTTATGAAAATCTAGATGCTACGTCAGGTACAAATGCATATGCAGAAAAGCAAGTTGACATTTGAAGCTCCAGGTATTACCACCTTGTATTTCAAGCCCTTCTGAACCTTTACCTAAATTCTTATTCATATAGGACTGATTTGTATAAACAATCAAAATATCTGAACCTCTCTTTAAACAGTCTAATAACCAGAAATGAATTTTATGAAAAAAAAAAAAATTATTTTTTTATTTCAAAAAAATTTAACATGTATTTTATTTCGTTAATGATTTGTCCTCTATAGTTCCTTTTTTTATTTTGTAGGTCTACCCCACTTTTCTCATGGATACATGCGGAATTGGGGTCGTGACACTTTCATTGCTCTACGAGGTCTATTCCTGCTGACTGGAAGGTATCAAGAGGCTAGGTATGTTTCTAGCTCAGTGTGTTCATCTTGAAAGGAAGATCTATTATCATTTTATTTAGCCTATTTTTCGGATATTAACACGTAAAACAAAAAATGCTTGAAATTTTATTTTAAGATTAGTTTGTTTTTATGCGTCCTCTGTTACGTGAATCTTTCTTGATTTTTTATTCATTTTAATTTTCAGGATTACAATTTTCGTATTTTTTTCACTGATCACTTAACCTAGGTAATTTTCAAAATTATCTCTAGAATTTTTAAAAGAAATTATTTAATGAGTTTGATATTTACCGAAAATATCTGTTCACCCGTATTTCAGGGTAGAAACATCTGTTGTAAATTTTAAAATGATGTATTTTACTCAGATAGGGTTTTTTTTACTTGTTTTGCCAATGTAGTGAGAATTATTAGCATTCATCGGGTAATATGTCTTTGGCATCCATGTTATCAGTAAAAGCAGTTCAACAGATAAGTTAATGAGTGAGTTATAAAGACTTTTTCATGCTACTACCAGTTAATCTTTATTATTCCAGGTATATTATTCTGGCATTTGGTGGTTGTCTCCGCCATGGCTTGATCCCAAATTTGTTAGATGGTGGCAACAATCCTCGCTACAACTGTCGAGATGCTGTATGGTGGTGGCTGTACACAATCCAATCCTATGTTGAATTAGTTCCTCAAGGACACATCATTTTGAATGATGTTGTCAATAGAATTTTCCCCACTGATGATTCGCCCAACACCTCTGTTGTGAGTAGTCATTCTTCTTCACCTCTATTTAGTTTGTTGTCAAGTGTTTTTAGGTAAAATCGCCCGTTGCCTCAGGTGCACTCCAGAGGCCTAACTAGTGCTAAACTCAGATATTACCACAGTGACATCGAGCCCCTTGCAAAGGACCCCGCACACTTCTTATGGGGATGTGTACCACAATCGGTTTTTAATTTTTTTATTGTTGTGAATTCGTCTATGGATGCTGATCAAAAGTCATGATTGCGCAAACTCTCTAGGAGCCACCATTCTCGCACAATCCACTGAAAAAGTTTTGGTGATTCCTTGCATAAATGAAGGTGACGAGTACTCGAGTGCGATGAGTGTAAATCTAGTAAACAGGAAAATTGATCAGCAGCCGAGCGACAGTCTTATCTCGGATTCCACACGCCTTTTTATTCATTGTCTGAAACAGTTTCTTTCTCTCTCCCACTCTGTTGTCTTTAACAGACAGACTCACTCTGCATTTTGATTTTAGCAGGTCTGTCCTGGAAATTACCGTAACGTCAATCGTGTACTGTGCAAAAACAGTGGCTTGTAGAAAGTTAACGCAATTTTGACTTTTGATCAGCATCGATAGGCAAATTTAAAACAATAAAAAAATTTAACATGGATTGTGGTACACACTCCCGTAAGGAGTGTGCGGTGTTCTTTGCTGATGCATTCTGTGTTGAATGTGGCGGCCTACATGCAATGAATAATTTTTTTTTTTTTTTTTAGTGAAACCTAGCTGAGTTGTTTCCAGTCTTGTCTGAAAACCCACGAAAGTTGTCAAAATAGCTCAGTCCTATTTGGTGTTTCTCATAAAAAAGTTTGGATAACTCAGAATCACATCTTTCCAAAGCAGATGAAGAAAGCAAAATTCGTTGGTTTTGATTTAAAAATATCTCATTTTACTTGAGAGGGATTCTGTCTCTTTCTCTTTCCTCTTTAAACTCTCATTGTTTTTCTCCTTTTAAGAAAACTGAAAGCTTGATCAATTCTTTTGCCAACAGGATCAACCTTTACATGAGGTTATTCAAGAAGCAATGTCAGTCCATTTTCAAGGCTTGTGCTTCAGAGAGCGGAATGCTGGAATTGCAATTGATGCCCACATGGTTAGTCAAGGCTTCGATAATCAAATTGGCGTCAATCCTAACACAGGTTTGTGAACTAATTGATTTTATAGTGAGGTTATATTTTGCAAATGGTTTCCACAAAAAGACAAGTATAAAAAAATTAAAAATAAATATGTCTGGAATTATGAGTTATTATGAAAGAAATATGGACGTGTTTAATTTATCAAAAATCAGACAGATTGTATTTGAGATATTTCAGTTTAAACAATCAGTGGCAAAATATTCAATTTTTTAAAATATCCCAAATTAAGGCTTTTTTAAAAACAAAGTAGCTCAATTTCAATGGTACATTCTGAATCTATGCGAAAAATTGTTCTATGAACACCCTTTTAAAATTAGGGTGCTGCTATGGAAAGTCTTAAGAGAGGGAAGTTGAGAAAATGGAAATTGCAAAAATAGGCTTCCTCAGATATCGCTAAAATTCATTTCATTTTTAAGGGTCAGTATCTCGTAAAGAGAGCCTGGGAGGGAAAAACTCCTCCAATCAGTTTCCTAGTACAATGTGAAGGAGACCCTGTAAACCAATTTCAAGCCAAATCAAAAGGAGTTGGGTTCCAGACCTGGTTGTGCTGATGTAAAATGTCCCTGCACCTACTCCATAGTATTTAAAATGTGGGCTCAGATTTTTTAAAACTGGGCCAAAATTAGCCATTATCGATAACCCTCCTTCATGGAAATGAATTTTGTACACAATGGCCTCAGAATTTTCAAGAAAATATCCACATTTGCACATTCTACTACCTGTGGGCAGACTGCATAGAAAAGGCGGAAACAATATTCAGACGAAGTTTCAAAAGATTGCTATGGATTGTCATGCTCCCTGAAAGTCATGAAAGTTCTAAATGCTTAAGTAATATTTGGTCTTAAAGTAAATTCGAAGGTGTAGCATAGGCATTATTGTGAAGATCTAAGGTCTTCTTTGACCATTATCATTGTCTTTCATCACCTTTATAGCAGCATAATCCCAGAGGGTTTGTCGAACTTCACTCTCCACAGCATTTGACATCAACTTTATCAGAAAGCAAACTAAAAACATTAAAGTTGTACTGATTTACAGGATTTGTATTTGGTGGCAACGAGTGGAACTGTGGAACCTGGATGGATAAAATGGGATCGAGTGAAAAAGCAGGCACGAAAGGACGCCCAGCCACTCCCAGAGATGGATCTGCAGTCGAGTTGATAGGTCTGTCCAAAGCTGCTGTCAGATGGTTGGCAACTATGAACGAGAAAAACTTATACCCTCACAGCGGAGTCTCTCGAACTAATAAAGATGGTCAGTTCTTTAACTCTCGTTTTTAAGGAATGTTTAAGTGATTTGTAAAGACCTTGGTCCTTTTTAACCAATATCTCCCAGTCCATTGTTTCATAATGATTTTACAAGAGGCGCTCTGTATTTTAAAAATCTAAACCTTCAAACCCTCTCCAAATTCTCTCTGCCCATAACCTCTGAATTTTTTTTATGCAAACTTTAAATTCTTATAACGAGATTCAGCTGTCTATGAGGTATAAAAATTTCAATTTTGATGGAAATCAACTGCTTTGGTGATTTCTAAGAGGTACTCTTTTTCAACTTCTTGTAAAACTTAATCAAAATTAAGTACTAGAGTCCTTATCTCTGTAACATATTCTATTTAAACTAGAGGAGAACTGCGATTCCCAGTAAAGAGACAACTGGACTGAACATGCTGGACTGCAATTGAAAATGCTTGAGCTAAAGCGGGCAGCAATGTTGTCTATGTTTTGTAATTTTCTAAACACTCTTTGTCTCTCAAGTTTTTCATAGAGTGTTTCTCCATCTTGATTCTTTTTGTTTTCCTTTGCAGGTAGCACAACAACTTGGAGTTACAAGGAGTGGAACAAACGGATACAAGATAACTTTGAAAAATACTTTTGGGTCTCTACGTCACCAGATCCAAATGAGAAACGACCGGACCTAGTTAATCGTAAAGGAATCTACAAAGATACTTATGGTGCATCACAACCCTGGACCGACTATCAGCTGAGACCAAACTTTCCTGTTGCAATGGTTGTTGTAAGTATTTTGAGCTCATAAATAGTCCGAAACAATTCAGTTCAGAGTTTTATCACAGTAAAAGCTTGATTTCCTCAATTTTTTGCCTGCCAAAAAATCCAGAAAATTGAGAAACCTGGTAAATTGAAAAATCAGATTCACATGTTTTCAACATCCATTAACCCTTTCCGGTCCGCAGCAGTTTTCCACGGCCGCGAGAAGCGAGGTTAAGGTAGCAGCGATGTTGTCAACAAAGACAGTGGTTTCCAAAGGGTCCACCAGAGGCCGCCACTTGCTGGAGCAGTTGAATATACCCGACATCAGGCCTGCACAGAGGTTAAAACTTTAGGGCGACTATATCCGACATCGGACCTAAACGCGTTATTTTTAACGGCGAATATATCCGACATTGGACCGGAAAGGGTTAAGAATAGTTTGCATTATTATAGGTTACAGACTGGTATTGATAGCCAGTATTAGGGTCAGACTGGTCAATAGGTCGCCACCAGAGTGAAGGAGCACTTGAGATGTGTGAATTTGAATAGATGAGAGTCATCTTTTACAGATTATGTCCTGTGAACACCCAGTGACATCAAGCAGTGCACGGTGAAGGAGGTTAGAAGCTGCACAAAAGACAAGGAACTGAATGTGTCGGAACAGGTGAAAATTTTTAACAACCCGCCACATAAACTGCTTTAACTTGCATACTGATCAACCGATCATGCCGGTGAATATCCAGTAGATCCTGCTTTAACCGGCGGATTGCCCACAACTAAACAAAATAGCCGTCATGAACATTCCAGAATGCAACACAGTGGAACCAATAGGCAGTTTTAGCTCTAGTATTAGTTTTCGTTTATGTCTTTCTTCTCCTCTTATTTTAGCCCCTGACAATGGTGTAAGCCAAAACTGTCGCACTATTTTTATTCAAGTCTTCCTTTTTAACTATTTATTGGGATAACAAAAAATACCAATGCAACTCGAATCAGTTTATGCATATTTTTTCTCCGATACTCAATTATTTCAATTCCTGTAAAAATAATTTTGTAAATACCTACCTGATTTGGTAATGCCAGTAGTTGAGAAAAATTTGAACTCTACCTTAATAAAGATTTATTTTCTCATAGGCTCCTGAATTGTTCACTCCAAGTAATGCATTGGCAGCTTTGCAGACTGTGGAAGATGTTTTGCTGGGACCTCTTGGTATAAAAACTTTAGATCCGACTGATTGGTGCTACAATGGTTTTTACGACAACAGTAATGATTCGTCGGATGCCAAAGTTGCTCATGGTTTCAACTATCATCAAGGACCAGTAAGTACTTATGTTTGCTCACCAAAACATGATTGTGAGGTTTAAAAAAAATGCAAGTTTAATCGAATGTAGTTGATCAAATCTAGTTTCTGAGTTTTCTAGTTTCTAGGCACTTCCGAAATCCGGAAACATAACTCACCTTATACTTAAAAAATTACTCATCAACTCAAAGTAAAACAAATTAAAAATAAGAAAGCTTTAGAAATACTGTCAAGAAACCTTGCATCAGACCTTGGTAGCAGTGAAAAGTTTCTGAAAATCCATATTTTCCTTCTGTTTAATTTTAGGAATGGCTGTGGCCTGTTGGATTCTTTCTGCGGGCCAAGCTAATTTTTGCTGAAAAAGCAAAGGGTCAGACAGAATTGGCCACCACAATCTCCAAGACGCTTGCATATCTCTCACATCACTACTCGCACCTTCAGTCGTGTGTTTGGCGTGGTCTGCCAGAATTGACCAACAAAGACGGAGCTTTTTGTCCTGGTAGTTGCACTGTTCAGGCCTGGAGTATGTCTACCATTCTAGAGGTAAATATCTTTTCATTTTGTAATACCTTGAGGAAGTGCATGAGGTTTTCTGCTTCTTGCTTTTATCTTTGTAAAAATGATCAGAGAGGAAAAGTTGCTGATAACCACTGCCGAATTCCAGTAGTGATCGTTGAGCAAAAGCCTCTTCATTGTTTCTCATTCAGGTTTTTTTTTGCAGGATTGTGTTTCAAAGAGTTAAACCTGATGATCAGCTTAAAATTAACAGTGAAATTGGTCCAAATACCAAATCCCTACATCTTAATATGATGAAGTTATCATCAAATGGAAAACAATGTTAAAGCCATAATTTAATTTGCTATCACACTATTTAAAATTAGATAATAAAAAAATAAGACTATTTGATTCCAAGAATCACCCACCTGAGGTAGTCCTCTATGAGTGTTTGTTCTTAACTTAAAATAATCTTATTAAGGGGAGGAGGAGGAGAGAAATAAAGAGAACACCTGGAGGAGTAGGGACAGTCTAGAAAAAATATTAAAATTTGAAGTGATGGTTTTTGAAAGATTCCATTCTGAATAATGAATGACACAAAAAATTGTGATTTTTTACTTTAATAAAAGCCTTGAATAACAGGCTTAGCAATAATTTTAAACTCTAATTCAAATGAACTATTGTCTGGCGGTAGGCAAAAATATTTAAAATTACTTTCCTAGAATGATGTAAAGAACTTGTTTTCCAAATTTGAGTAAAATTGGTGGTGGTCTTGGTCGTTTTGACCGGGAATGACCCAATTATGGACATAGTTGTGGGACATAAATTAGCTCTTTGGCGGCAAAATCAAGTTCTGTGTAAGAGGGAGTTTAATTTCTTTTGCTACTTAAACAATCGTTTCCACTTGTAGCAATACTTTTGAGGCATTGTAGCTCACAATGAAAAATAATTTGCTCTATCGTTGGATTCGTAAAGGATCTGAAACAGTCAGTCGTGTTTCACCTTTTGAAAATGAAGGAAAAGAATTGGAATTAAAGGAAGGATGAAAAGGCAAGTATTTTTCCTTGGGTTTTACTGTTTGAATTGTTCTTCTGTTTCCTTATTGCAGTATCTATTTTTCCTTTTAAAAATTGTTCTCCCTCTTTTTCCTCCACAGGTGCTCGAAGACATTTCAAAATTGGAAGTAGTAGCTGGATTTGAAAAGATAAATGATCCATTAAAGCTTTGAAACTTTCGAACTGCCAAATACAAAACAAATTACTTTGTTTGTGCGGTACTTTATCATGTGTATAGAATTTGTGGAGTATTCGCTCTTGTTGTTTTAAGAAGCTGTTGTTACCTAAATTTTCAATGATGTAATTATTTTTATCATTCACTAACTATGTAGAATCTCTGATGATAATTTGATAATATGTGTTGTTATCGTCCTGATTGCTCAAAACTTTTGTTACTCATTTTACCTGCAATTTTACAATGAGTTTGAAAGGAAAGACCAAATTTTATGCGCAGAGTGTTTATGACTTAATTCCGCACTGTTGCAGGAGACGATTCTCAAGTCAAAATAAGAAAATTCTCCTCTACTAAGGTTAGCCTATAGTTTAATTTACAGTCGTAGTTTAAATTGCCATAATTCCAGGAAAAACGCAAAACTTGGCCAATTAAAAGTTGAGGGCTTCGCCCATTCTCCAAAAACAAAAGGAATAGTATCATTTCTCATCTTTTTGTGTTCGGCACTGGGAGTTTCAATTCACCCTAAATTTTGAAACAAATACACTCAAAATTATCCGCAAAATTTTGGAAAACAGCATTTTTTTAAAAAAAACTTTGAGGGGCTGTTTCTTTGCTGAGTTCAACTTTAAGCTTATGTTCATGGAAGAAAAAGTCTAATCTGACCTGGAGATTTGGAGAATCGCCCCCTGCAATACTGTTGATTTAAGCGTGAACACCCTGTATGTTATTTGGACTGCATTTTGCAATTTGGAACTATAAATTCTGGCCCGATTTAAAAACAACGTATTTGCCGTTAGTTACCCTATGCACATAAGTGTTTTTTTCAAATGAGCCAGAATTTATAGTTCCAAATTGCAAAATGCAGTCCATTTGTTAATTTAAAATTTATACGTGATAAGTGCCTGATTATTTTTTTTACTTTTAGTTACCTTGTGCCATTAATTTTTTTTAACAGGGATACCCTGTGTGTTATTTGTTAACTTGAAATTTTGTCGTGATGAAGTGCCTCACTATGTGCCATTAATTTTCCTAAACAAGGAAATTACGCCCGTCTAAGTCTCTTTTTTTAGTGTCACCAAAAATTCTAACCAACCACATGTTTTCATTTATTTAGTCATATTCTGGTTTCACATATGGACTGCATTTTGCAATTTGGACCTATAAATTCCGGCCCGATTAGAAAACAACGTATGTACCATATGTTTCCCTATGCACATAAGTGTTTTTTCAGATGAGCCAGAATTTATAGGTCCAAATTGCAAAATGCAGTCCATATCATGTAAAGAATGATGATGATCAGCATCCTGCAGTTGATAAATCTGCACTAAATGATCACAAGATTAATCCCATTGCAGAGTACTTTTGAACTTCTTTTCATTTCAAATGCAGTGAACTCGGATTTTAAAAAAATGTATGCATTTTATAATTCCTGCCTACAAGCCATTTTATCATTGCGAAAGAATATAGGACTTTGTTTTTTATTAAATTTTTATCAGTTTTATATCTTCCATATTTTATCCTATCATGCTATTTCTCTTGAGGGTGTAAAATCTCATATGAATGTCGTTTCTTCCTAAATTCCCTCTCACTTTCACCAGTCAATTTGCAGTTAATATCCTGTGAACTAATTTTGTCGAGGGAATATGCTCGTTTGTTGGCTATCTTAAATTATCTGTCGAAACTGAAAGAGAATAGAAATCTACTTTCAAAATAAATCTCACTAAATTTTTCATAATTGTGTGTTCATTTCTTTCATATTTGTCTTTTTTTCTTTGTCTATTTCGTTGCAATTTTGGATGATTCGAAGAAGATTCCTTAGTTTGTTTACCATTTGATTATACATAGGTAACAAAAGCCCAACCAATTTTAAAATGGAGAAAAAACATTTAGCGTCTTGAATAAGGTGGGTGTTGATCCAGACTTAAGATTAAGAGACATCAATAATGAAAGGTAGACTTTCCATAACTACGTATTATTTTAATAATCGATATGAAATAATTATTTCAGTTGTAAGCATTCTCAATGATTATCACAGAGAAATTATAACACCAAGAATTCTACTGTGTCACTTGGTTGTGGAAAGAGGTCTTTGATCACAGGTGTCCAACTCCTCAGGGGCAGTAAGATCTTCCCCTCTTCCCCCTTGTACCAATACATAGTGCTTTCCTTCAGAGTATTTTTACTACCATAAATGGAGGGTAAAACAGATCTTTCAATCTACATAACTTAATGCGCTTCATCCATCCAAGAATATACACTATAAAGTTGAAACGGGGCTGCCTTCAGTTATACAAACTCCTAACTCCAATCAATACCTATAGAGTCCAATAACCCAAAATTAAATGAGTCTTGGTTCTAGGCGAGTCTGTTACTTATGATCGAAGCAAGAAAAAAAAGAAAGAAAAAAAAACGAAAAAAAAACACACTTAACATGTAGCCCGACCTGTAGGTAACAGGATGGTAGAGTTGTGCTGGGTCCACACTTTTCCTCCAGAAAACAAGGCCAAACAATTCCAAAAATGTTCATTGGATTGAAACATTTGAACTTGAATGAGTATCAATACACAATTAAAGTACAAGACTGTGAGAGTACAGTTTTCAGCTCAGGCAGATGCATTGGAATACACCAGTGGACCATACTCGCCACAATATCCAAAACGGCATCGTCCATCGAAACGCCGCACTATGGTCCGAATAGCCGGTTTAAGCGGCATTAAATCAGATATGTATGTTTAAACCTCGCAACATGAGTTTTCAGGGGTTTTTAGGGTCGCTGAGTGCAAAAATGCTATTATTCTTCAGGAAAAATCCATTTTTAACATTTTTATACTTTATATAACTGTGGTAATATTTTGTTCAGAAACCTTAAATTGAGGCAATAATTGGTTCAAGCTGACGCGGTGGAGCAGTTAACATCGCGTCTTACCTGTCATCTTGGTATCCCGGGTTCGATTCCCGGTAAGTTTTTTTTTTTTTTTTTTTTTATAAGTTTAAAAATTAATTTTACATTGGATGGACTATAAGAAGCTAAAAGTAGAGCCTCGTCAAACACTACTATCAAGGGAAGTTGAAAAAGACAGCTCAGGATAATACTTCTAAGTTTCATGGCTCCAGAGGCCTACTTTCAAGTCCCACCGATCAGCCGTTTGAACTCGTTTTCGTCTGCCAAGCTAAACTTAAGCTTAAATATATCCATTTTGATAGATTATTTGTTTGAAACATGGGTAAGCGTAAAAAAAAAAACGTTTACGGGACCTCAAAGTGGCTTCCTAAGACAATTTCATTGCTCGGGAGCCTTACTTTCAAGTCCCACCGATCAACTGTTTAGACTTGTTTTCGTCTGCCAAGCTAAACTTATGCTAACATATATCTACACTGATAGATTATATGTTTGAAACACTTAAAACGTCAAAAAAAAAACTTTTACGGGGCCTCAAAGTAGCCTCCCGAGGCGATTCTTTGCTGTTCTTGAGCACAAGTTTCAATTGGTCCCGATCAACCTCATCAACTCGTATTATTCTGCCTGGGCAGATTTAGGCTCTAATGCATTCGATTTGCTAGAATATGACAATGGAACATGATAAAAGTCATCGTCAATGGCATATGATAGCTAATTGTTGTAAGTGATAAGAAACGCGAAAACGTCTTTTTCATGAGAAATAACTTGAGGCGATTGTGTGTGATTGATCTGCCACTCAGACTAAAAGGTAGTCTAGAGTCATGACAATAACTTCCGAGTAAAATTACGAGGTGCTCAGAGGTGCAAAGGATATTTTTTGGGTCCTACTTTTGCGAATTTATTGAAAAAAGTGACTATGTCTAAGGGTTAATCTAGAACATTAGATATGATGAAAAAGAACAGTTTCAGCATGAAACATCTTAAACTTATCTTATATTTTGTGAATCAAGTGCCCAAACACTTTCAGGTACGGTGAAACGACGAAAACAAGCCCTTAAACACAGCACTGCCGCTCGGTAACTGGAATCGCACTCATTAAGTGCTCCGCGCGCCGCACTTCCCAGGCTTGTCACATCTTTATTAGTGCTTTAATCGAAGTGAAATTTTACAGGAGTCTTCTCTACAGTATGTACTATCGATCTACTGCTTAAAATCTAACTTTTTCCAAACTTCACTTTTTCGATTTATTGCCGCTTAAACCGGCTATTCGGACCATAGTGCGCCGCACCACCGCGGCCGCCGCGGTGTTCCTCTTAGAGAATTCTTCCTATCTTTTACTGTTTTCACAACAGTTTTCACTTTCCAAGGCACTAATGTTTACATTAAAATTATTTTACCATGTTTATTACTTTCACTGACAGATTTAAAGTCGGACGTGCCGTCACGTCGTCATGAACATGACGCGAGGCATGACTCGAGGGTGCGATTCTCTTCCCCCTCCCCGTGTGAGGCAACCTCTCAAACCCTCTTTTGAATTACTTAAGATTGGCTTGATCCTTTATCTCCCTTTAAATTTGTCAAAAATTTACGAAAAAAACCTGAAAAATAGATTAACAAATTGTTGTTGTTAGGGTTTTTTTTTTTTTTTTTTTTNTTTTTTTTTTTTTTTTTTTTTTTTTTTTTTTTTTTTTTTTTTTTTTTTTTTTTTTAAGTGGAAGGCTTACGTAAGGCTTACTTAAATCCTCAGACTCTTAAAGGCAAGGTCAGACCTCCTCTCCTCCTCAACCCACTCAGCATAAAACCTTAATACAATCTTAGTATAATATTGCACATCTTACACATCAACATTGCAGCCATATTATATCCATCTTAAGGTAAGATAGCATCAATGTTGATGTGCTACTGCCAGGGACTTGCCTGAACATTGCAACAACATTGATAGTAAGGTTGAAGTAACATTACAATAATCTAACATAATATTGATAGGTATTCCCCCGTCAACATTGTTATCAGGTTGACACTTCTTGACATCTCCTTGATTGCCAGTCTANTGGGGTGTTTGGTACATTGCATGGGCATGAAAGAGAAAATTGGGCCGTTTTGATATCATTTCCTTTTATATGATGAATCCAAACGGTACTGCCATCATATTTTTTGGGTGCCTGGTTTTTTTTTTTGTTTTTTTTTTGTTTTTGGTAATTAGTGACATTTTTTGGATTGGGCCGAAATTTTGTACAAAAATCATATTTTTGTTTTTTTTGGAATCAAGCTTACATTAATGTTGATATTGTCAATCTTATCCTGACAATACTGATTTAACATTCCATCCATATTAGTAACATTACATCAACATATGTCAGCAAATAACAACATTGCTTTAAGATATCGGGAAGTAGCCTACGTAATACTTGAATGACCCCTAGTGTTCAAACTCGTGTGCTATAAACTATTTTGTTTTGCGCCCGATTGCCGAATCTCCGAGAAGAAGAAACTCACTAAAGATAAAGTGAATGAAAAGGGGTTTCTGTAATTTCTGACAGTCTTTTAATGCGAAAACGGTCGGTGGCAAGACGAACGGGGTACGCTTTAACAGCCTGGAAATCACAAGGCTCGAGAGTCAAAACGGTCAAAAACATTCCCCTGTTGGAGCTTGGCGGGATCAATGACCGCGGAGCGATGGCTGAGCGCCACCTTGCGTTTGCGTCGTCTCTCCACTAGGGGGCGCTAGTAGCGCCAGCGCACCCTGTTTGCCCGTTTGTAAATGAAATGTCTCTCCACGTCTCCACTCACACATCCATCATATCGATCACCGTATTGTTTAAAAACTTCCGTAATTTTTCTTCTCCATCAGCAGAATATTATGGAGAAATTTTATGCTAAAAATATGACTTATTCCTCTTCAAAAAAATGAAATAGGAGCAACGATTTTGAAACACCGCAATGGAGAAACGTGGATCCGAACTTTAGCCATCCATCGATATAAGTTTGTTCCACTTTTATTTCTCTCGTATTTTCTCGCGTTTCCGACGACAGATTAGGGGTACAACTTTAATAAACCCCAACCAAAAAATTGAAAATTAACCCCAGGCTTATACAGCGATCCTTCTGAGCACTGCAGTGAGTACCTAGAGGCGTCTCTCTTGCACTCATCAGTCAAATGGAACCTCGCCGGACGAAACAGCGTACCTCCATTTGGATCGCGTTTAACAGAAAGGAACCAAGCCACATCAGCTATCGCCAAATTTAACTGGGCAATTTAATTTTTTATGAGAAAACGTTTCTGTGGACTCCTTTGAAAATTTAAAGGAATTTCCTTCCTACTAAGGAGAAAATTCGCTGAAATTTGCACAAAAATCCGCACAACCGTTTTCATGTAAAAGATTGAATTGCCATATTAAATTTGGCAATAGCTGATGTGGCTTGGTTCCTTTCTGTTCAACGCGGTCCATTTGAATGTGAGCCCTAGGAAACATGGCGGTAAATGAGAGCCCTTCTTCGTCTAGCTCTCTCGCCTTCGCTGGACGAGCGCGGCATTTTCGGCTCATCGAAGGGTTGTTTGTGCTTGTACACGACGACGACGCCCTCAAAATACGATTTTCAACCAATGAGAGCAAAGTTGCCCTTGCTGACGTGCTTCCGAAACCCATATGAACTCTCTAACGTTGCCTGATCTCGGCCGATAAAACACGCATTTTCTGGGAGACTTGAGCATATTTTCCGCCCATTTTTGGGAGAATTTTATTTTTATGAGTACTTCAATCCATAGCACTTGGGCAGGAAAAATTTTCGATATTTTCCTCCAAAATAAATATTTTATTGCGGAAATTTGGCAACACATGAATGTTCATAAGGGTTTCCCCTCAACTTTTGGGGCTCTGAATTTGCCTCAGAAATCTCGTAGAGCTTCTCAAGGCCCCTTTTGGAACTTTTCCTCCTAACTAAGATGGAGTCTCAAATATTCTTTTAATCCCCTCCCCCTCCCCCTCCCAAATGGACCACAAGGTAAGGTACGAAATTAAGCAGCACACTGCTACCTTATTGAAATTTTACGTTTTACTTTGATCAATGAAAACATTTATTATAATACAGAATGTTCTTATCCTACCATTCATTGATGATAGTCAGAAGTCTGACTTTGGAGTTTCAACTGATTAAGTGACAATATTTTACATTTTTATAATTGAAGACAAAACACTTCAAGATTCGATATTGCATCATTAAATACAAAAATTAGGCACATTAAAAACGAACTTAACCACTACATCATGACCATTCACAGTTCTTTCAATATTTCATTTATTAGAGCAGAAATAGGGCAAATATACTAATTGCAATAAGACTTAGATATACTGAGGATCTCACAATTAAAACACATGCCAACAACTTAAAACGAAAACCCAACAAAAAATTTTGGCGACAAAAATTGAATTGCCTCTGATGTTTCCACACTGAATACTCAAAAATAACTAGGAAAAAAAATTAAAAAATCAAAAAAAAATTTGAACGACGCAGCACTACTCAGAGAGTAAAGCAGGAACTAATGTGATTTTGTATTACCTCTGTACAGGTTGTCTCAAAATTCCCTCCTCCCACATCCTGTTTAAAGTTTCTCCAATGCATGGAGGCGATGTTTCTAGGTCAAAGCGAACTATGTAACTTCCTTACATACCCAAACTTACGAGCTGAAGGAGGAGGGAGGTGCAAAGAGGGGAATTGCATCAAGTATTTGTTCACAACCTTCGATCAAGAAAACTTTTGAAACATCTTTAAAAATACCTACGTCTTGAGTGAATATCACAAATCGAAAGGCAGAACGATTTGTGATTTTAACTCAGGACGTACTTCCGGAGTCGTATCGAAGTGTTTATGGTCAAATTTTAAGTTCAAATACCTGACGTACATCACAGCGTGATTCGATGCTCAGAAATTATTAAGAAATTTCCTAAAACCCAGAAATTGTCAATTAATCGGTCTAATATCGAATCGTTCCCTGAAGTTCTGAAGATCCACCGTACATTCATCATCCAACGACCCTCATTTTTCCGGGACAAAGGTTGCCGAGATTCAAGCACTGTATCTTTGTTGTGATTGGGGTTGGGATTGTTCTCCACCGTAGGCGGTTGCCGTGCTGGACGCGATCCCGCTACGACCATTGTTCACGCTGTTGGCGATGACCGTTGTGCTGTAGTATCGATGCAGAGGTGACTGAGAGTGTGAGCCAGTTCCGCCTTGGGAGCCGTGAGAACCAGACCCGTGAGAGGGAGGTTCGTAGGAGGGGGATCCATGGGAGGGAGAACCGTGGGAGGGGGATCCGTGGGAGGGAGATCCGTGAGAGGGAGATCCATGGGAGGGAGATGAGGATGGGTAGCCACCCCTCTGAGACCCCTCCGGGGCGCCGCCGCCTTGGCCGTAAGGGGGGAGAACTCCAAGCATGATGGGGAACCACGCGTTGAATGAGGCATGAGCTTTCGCGGCACCATCTGCAAACATCAAATAAAAATGTGATTTGAATTTTTACGGGTGTGACTCCCGGTAATATAGACCTTCCCAGTAATTGTTTCATTTTTTGTTCTGAGTCGTCGAAAGCTAACTAATCGGAAAGAGGGAGGGGTGTAGTGATACGCTGGAAAAAAAAACACATTGGATCTAGAGTCTAGACTCTTGAAAACATCGACAAGAAAAAATACTCTTGATTCAATCAGATTTAAGCTTAAATCAAGAACCAAGCCTCTTAATTTGAGCGGATTTCCTTTTGATTTA